CCTTGCCACCCAAGCTAATCCGGCTCTCAGGGGCGTCTCATAAACCCCAGTGCCAGCTTGCAAAACCTGGGGCAGAGGCGGGGGYGCAGAGCTGCCACCTGGACTGGGCTCTCCAGACATTCTGCCACCCCGTCTCCACTTTGTTCCCTCGGGGGCCTGCCGTCCAGGCTGCCGTGCGGATTCCACCCTGGCCCGTCTGGAGCAGCCCCCTCCTGGGTGGAGTCCTATCAATTATTCTTCAAAGTCGGGTTATGCCTGGCTTCTCCAGGTGGCTGGCAGTGACCCCCCTGGATCACAGTCATATTCTACCTGTCACTTCAGGTCCAGTCACAGCTTGAGACCTGGGGGGAGGAGGTGGGATCTCCTGACCCCTGATCTCTCCTGCCTGCCATCTCCAGGCCCAGGCCCCTGGCCCAAAGCTGCCTGCTGGGTGGATGAGCCCCCTTCTTTTTGGACAGACAGGTATTTAGGTCAGCCTGTGGCTCTCTGCATCCCCAAGTAGTGCTGTTTATAACATGTAAAGCCTGCTTCTCATTTTAATTTCAAAGGCCCTAGCGCACGTGTGGTTGGAACTTAGCCCTGCGCAGCTAGGAAAGAGGCTGTGGTTTCGCGGAATCAAGAGGACAAACAGCTGTGGCTTTCAGGCTTCTGTTTCTGAGGCTCAGCTCAGAATGGTAGCATTTTTCCCCCAACTATTTATTTACTTATTTATTTGCATTATGGGGATTGAAACCAGGGCTGCTCTACCACTAGGCTGTGCCCTCAGCCCCTTTTTATTTTATTCAGAGACAGGGTCTCACTCAGCTGCCCAGTCTGCCCTCAAACTTGCCATCCTCCCRACCCAGGCTTTCCAGCTGCTGGATCACAGGATGCGCCACCAACCAAGGTGATAGGAGTTCTTTGCAGAAACATCCTGTTGTTACTCTTGGGTGTGGAAATGGCAGGCGGTGGGCAGCTGCCTGGTGTGACAGAGGAGCCAAGTGAGGAGCAAATCATTTGCCTGAGGTTGAAATACTTGCTGGGTTCTAACACACAGAAGGGAATGTTCTGGTCAGGCGCAGTGGCTCTTGCCTGTGATCCCAGCTGCTCGGGAGGCTGAGGCAGAAGGATCCCAAGTTCAAAGTCAGTCTGAGTTACAAGTTCAAAGCCACTTAGTGAGACCCTGTCTCAAAATAAAAAAATAAAAAGGGCTGGGATGTACCCAGTGCTAGAGCACTCCTGGGTCCACTCCCCAGTATGGGGATTGAAAACAAAACAAAACAAAAAATAGAATGTTTTGCAGGAACTTTCAGAAAGACCAGGAAAGAAGTCAGCAGCTATAGACTGGAAATATGTTTCACAGCCTGACAGTTCTTAGTAGCAGCCACCCAAGATGAGCTGTTTTACATACAGTTTCTTGTTCTTGGCTGCAGTATTTGGTGATCTCAGCAATATGTATTAGGTGTAGTTGCTAAAATTTTACAAATTAAAATAATGAAGTTGTTATATAACTCAGAACCCAAGGACTTCCTGGAGGGACCTGAATTATTATAATGTAATCAAACTTTATAAAACCTGATATATTATTTCTTGGAAATCATATTTCTCCCCTGCAAGACTTATAAACATATATATAAATATAATTGCTGGCAGCACAATGATCTTGTACGTGAGCTCTCTCCTCTACAGTCCCAGCTCCAAGTGGCCGCAATTTTTTACAAAAGGAATTTTTGCATCTATGAATAACCCATGAATACATTTGCTCTGTCAGAATTAATAGAATGCACAAAATATTAAAGCGTTGCTGACTACCACTCAATCTTACTTCTCCATAGATCATCTGCCTGTGTACTTTCAGAACTTTGCTATGAATATGCATTGTTTGGTATAGCTTTGTGTTTACACTCCAGCTATCATACTGTTGTGTTCCGCAGTTTGTCCTGGGTGTCTTCTACTCGGACATATTTTTTTTTAAAATGCTGCGTATTATCCCATCCTTCCGTTCCTGTAATTATTGGGTTTTGTTTTGTTTTGTTTTGTTTTGCACCAGGGATTGAACACAGGGAAATTTAACTACTGAGTCATATCCCCAGCACTTTTTATTTTATTTTGAGACACAGTCTCACTCAGTCACTTAGGGCCTTGCTAAATTGCTGAGGCTGGCCTTGAACTTGTGATCTTCTTGCCTCAGCCTCCCGAACCCCTGGGATTACAGGTGTGCACCACAGCCCCAGCCTCACCCCCCATTTTCCTAGTATTCCAAACATTGCCTGTAATGAGCATCCCTGTGTATTCCTCTTGTGCAGTTGGACTTTTCTTTAGAGGAGATACGAAAGAAGTGTGTTTTACTTGTTTAATAGATAATGCCATGTTGTCCTCCAGAACTTCATTCCTCCTTTATACCTTCCCAGCAGACACTGCCTCCTGCTCTTCCCATCTTTCGGTTAAGGTTTTGGGAAGGTTGGTGCACCTAGTATTAAAATGCAGATTACCCGGCCGTGGATGATCAAGTGAAGTCCTTACCGTAGCTAGGGTGATTTTGCTGGGAGCTGGGAGAGAACAGCTGTGGGAGTTCCTGGGAGGTCAGACGGCCTGAGGACTTAGGGTACCAGGAGTGGGGTGTCTGGAAGACAGGAAAAATGAACGCAGAGCTTGCCGCTGGGGGAGGGCAGGGGAAGGAGGGACRTGGAAAAGAACAGCTGCTCAGGAGCCAGGGCTCTGGATCTTGTGGACTCTCACCTGACACGCCCCCAGGCAGTTGTGTCCATCTTTGGGGACACTGTTGGTGGGACAGAGGTCTCAGCTTGAGCAGCTCTTGGCCAAATTCTTTCCCACTAGATACTGATCATTTCTAAGACCACAAAGACAAAGCAGAACAGTAACCAAACCAAAAGCTGGCAGAGAAGGGTTTAAGACTGAATGCCATTTTTTAAAAGTTGATAGATTGTACAAGATTGTTATTTCCAGAAGTTTTAAAGTTTCAACAAACTTGGTGTCTTTTCTTTTTCCTCTCCCTCTTGTTCTCTGTATTTTTTTCTGTTTGTGTAATTGAGCCTTCTAAAGCAGTGGCTTCACAACTTTTCTGAACATCAGAATCGCCTGGGGACATTTTAAAAGTCATCCCCAGTTCACACCATGTTTTAATTAAAGCAGAATGCCTAGGGGTTTCACAGTCAACCACTATGATCCAATGGATAAGAAAAAAATATATAATTTTGGCTTAAGAAATATAATTTCAGGGGCTGGGGATGTCGCTCAGTTGGTAGAGTGCTTGCCTCACATGCACAAGGCCCTGGGTTCAATCCCCAGCACCACAAAAAAAAAAAAAAAAAGAAATATGATTTCAGGAAGTATAAGAAGACACAGTTAAATATTTAAATACTCTTTTTTCTGTAATCATAGAATATTCATGATACATAGACATATTGGGACAATAATTTACAAAATAAGTGCAATACTGATACAGTTTACCAAATCAAGACTTCAGTATAGATATCAAATTATTGGGGACACGGCCGMGGTTGCAGCTCAGGGGTAGAGTACTTGCCTAGCACACCCAAGGCCCTGGGTTCGATCCTCAGCACCACAAAACAAAGTAYTGAATACCAAAAGGAACCCAAGCCACAGTCTTTCTTGACGCTCAGCTGTACCAGGAAGGCTCCTTAATGAAGTGCAGACCCCTGTTACCAGCAGACAGCACCTGCTGCCTGTCTCCTGGAGGAATTGAAGGAATTCCGGCTATTTTCGTGCCCTCCAGCTCGGGGAGTAACTGAGGGAGCTTTCTGCACCTGCTTTTGCCTAAACCACRCGTGCATTACCTGTTGCTGTTGACCTCTTACATACTTCGACTTCATTACCTTTAAAATTCCAAAAGAAAGCCCCAAACTCACCCTCCCAGCTCAGCTGGCCTGAGGATGTTCTCCCACAGGGTCAAAGAGGGAGCCTGTTGGCCACTTCCAGACCCATTGCTGCAGGAATGTGCACAAATCCCAGCGCTGCTTTCTCCCGGGGAGGGAGGAGGGAGGAAAGGGATTTAAAACCAGCAGCACGGGCGGGGCGGGGGGCAGTTACTATTATGATTTATGAATTTTTTTTTGTTTAGCTTTTCTTCCTTTCTCATTGGGTCTTTAAGGGGGAATTGTTGGTGCTACTCAGACATGATTTGGTGTCTGTCCCCTGGGGAAGGCTTCAGTCTGGACAGTCTCACCTTTTCCCTGCTAGCTGAAGCCTCTCTGGACTGAAGTCACAGGGTGAGACCATGGTACGTGACTCTGCTGACCTGCAAAGGAGAGCACCACCTCACGGTCTAGGGCAGTCTAGGGAGAACCACCCTGGGCCTCTGTCCAGCTGTGGGCGGTGGACACCTTGGTCTATGGCGGTGGGTGTCCTCAGGGAAGCCCTGCTGGAGGCTAGGGCGGGGCTGCAGGCTTCTCGCTGTCCTAACCTGGATTGAGCCKCTGAGCTAACCTGGATCGTGGCTTCCTTTGTGAGCAGCTCCTTCCACCTTCTCATTTGGCACCTCCACAGTAGCGTCAGCGTCCTCCCTCTCAGGCATCCTCAGGGTGCACAGGACAGCAGCTGCAGTAGTTCCTCTCCGAAGGAGCCTTGTGTTTAGCCTTGTGACCTCTGAGTGTGGAATTCCACCTGCAGGCCGAGCACGCCTTCAGAGGACCTGGCCCAGGCTTCCATGCGGCTCATTTGTGTGTTTTCTCTGTTGGATGGAGGCTAAGTGTTGCTGACGTTCTTATATTTGGGAAGGTGTGATTGGCCCTTGTAAGAGAAGAACTGCTGAAGAAACCTCAAGTTATGGATAATTTCATGTAATTTATATTTATTTTGGTCTAAGTAAGTGGGTAGCTACTTTTTTTTTTTTTAACCTGACTGCTAAACACTTTGGTTTAAAAAAAAAAAAAAGCTACAGGAAAAAAATCACACCAATGTCTCGGAACCCTAGTGACATCGACCTCTGGACTCACTTCACCTGATTGATAAGCCTCGTGTGTTTTCTGTCTTTCTTACAGGACTGCCAACCAGACTCCCAGAAATCATGTTGGTAGGGTCCCAGTCCTTCTCACCGGGAGGGCCCAATGGGATCATTAGAAGCCAGTCCTTCGCGGGGTTCAGTGGCCTTCAAGAAAGACGATCCAGGCAAGTGCAGATCGGTTTTCCCTGGGGAGGTGGCTCGTTGACTCGTGGGCCTGCACAGGCAGCCTCTGCAAGACACACACACACACACACACACACACACACACACACACACTAGTTTAATCTTTTTTCCATAGAAAAGATAAGGTACCCCAAATGAAGTGCCACTAATTTTTTCCTATCCTTTGGAATTCCTCCTGCACAGAGGACCGAGGATGTGGGACAAGCTGGTGGCCCGTGTCTGGACCTCTCCACACCCCACCCCTCCCCATCCCCTATGAAGCACATTTTCCATGACATTCAGATTTCGGAGACTAGGTTTGGAATGAAGTTATGCAGTGAATAAAGATGAAGACTCGCAGCTCCATGCTAGGGAGCAGATGCCACTCAGTCAGAGGCTGTGAAAATTGTCTCCTGGTCTCCCTGGACCATCTGAAACTGAAACAGGGGTCACTGGATGCTTTGGCTATATCCCTTGTGGCTTTGAAATGTACATGTTTTTTCTTTTTCACAACCTTCTCCTCCCCGATCTTCTCCTCCCTGATCTTCTCCTCCCTGATCTTCTCCTCCCTGATCTTCTCCTCTCTGATCTTCTCCTCCCTGATCTTCTCCTTCTTGATCTTCTCCTCCCTGGTCTTCTCCTCCCTGATTTTCTCCTCCCTGATCTTCTCCTTCTTGATCTTCTCCTCCCTGGTCTTCTCCTCCCTGATCTTCTTGATCTCTCCTCCCTAATTTCGTTTTTTTCTCTGACTCATCTCTATAAAAGCCCCCTGTTCCTGCTGATGGGCAGAGTCACGGCCTTTGGGACAGGAGTCCCCTGTGTTTCTCTTTTGCTGGCAAAGCAATAACAGTCTTTTTCCTTTTTCTCAAAACCGTGTTCTTGTTTTTGGATTCGCATCCCGGACAAGGAAGGACTGAGCTTTCAGCTACAAATTCAGAAAGCCCAGGTAGCAAAGAGGCAGCATGTAGTCACGTTGGACCTTAGTGCTTCTGATGTCATAAAGTCCCCCTCTGAGGGCCTATGTGGGTGGCCTGGGACAGGGGTGGCAGAAGAGTGTAATAGCCTAGGGGCAGGGGACTCCAGTCTCCTGTCTCTCCCCCTGGAGCAGATTAGTGAGTGCAGGGCATTGGTCTCCTGATCACCCATAGCGTGGGTCGAAGTCACCAGGAGTCTGTCTTGCCACTGTATACTCCATGTCTGCTGACTTTTYATAATTATAGCTATATAATTTAAAACAAATAACCCTTTAAAGAAGGCTATCAGTACGGCTGTGTGTGCTTTTCTTTCAAGCCACATGGGATCAGCTGCTTGTCAGGCTTACGGCTGTGCATCAACAGGGTTTCATTACGTCCCAGCCACACTTAGCAGAGGCTGTGTGACCTGGTGCACGAGTGTACCTGCTGTTGTACCTTCTGCCTGTTCATCCTTCCCACTGCACCCACTCTCCCAGGCTCCCTGAGGGTCTGCTGAAGCAGCGCACTCAAACGCCGGTGCCCTCCAGGAAGCTTGGCCTGGCCCCAAACTTCCAGATTTCTGCAATCAACCAATTGACACCAAGAAATAGATGCAGGAGGCTCAGCTCTGCCCCTAACCAAGGGCAGCTGCCTTCTCCCAATGACAATCACCTGAAGCCTCGGCGAATGGAGAAACTTTCATCAAAGCCTTTTGGACGGCCGAGGGTCTCAATGTGCTTTCTTTTCTTTCCCTAGGTGTAACTCCTTCATTGAAAATTCCTCAGCTCTCAAGAAACCCCAGACCAAATTGAAGAAAATGCACAATCTAGGACACAAAAACAACAATCCTCCCAAAGAGCCCCAGCCTACAAGGGTGGAAGAGGTCTACAGGGCCCTGAAAAAGGGACTCAGGTAAGAGACGGGTCCTGGTCAGGCACTTTCCCTTCTAACATGACCGGGAGGAAAGCTAGCCTGTAAGGTCACTTCCAGAAGGCTCTATCTGTAATAGGTGTTTTACCCTTCATTCTAAAGAATAAAGGGAAGCTAGAATGAGTCCGGAGGACGTGAAGCCTGTTGCAGCTCACCTCCTCCACGCCGAAGGAGACCTGGAGTGGTCATCCATCAGCGATAGCCCCAGTTAGTGTTGGTTTCCACTCAACYATGGAGCTCAGGCTTATCCACTCTAGAGACTGTGGCACGGTTGGGGTGGTGGCTCAGTGGTAGAGTGCTTGCCTAGCATGCGTGAGGCACTGGGTTCGATCCTTGGCACCACATAAAAACAAACTAATGTATCCACCTAAAACTAAAGATACATAAATGAATAAATTTAAAAAAAAAAAATAGAGACTGTGGCAGAAGGGTTCTCCAACGTCCCGGAGCACATTAYAGGGACTGTTGGCGCAGAGTGAGACCCTCCTGGCCTGTGATGAGGCATCCAAGTCAGCGTGGTGTTTAACAAAAAGATTCTGAGAATCCGGACCCATTCCCCGGAGTCTTCCCTTCCCTCCCTAGGGGTTTTTCGTTTCTGGACTGTAGGACACGCAGGGGCCTTCCTTTCTGATAATCTGGACAGTGTGGGATACAATTGCTAAAGCTTTATAAAGACTAGGAAAGTACGGCGCCCCCAACCCACCATGTCCAGATGTATTTTTCCCCAGTGCTGCAGATGGAACCCAGGGCCTGATGCATGCTAGGCCAGCACTCACCACTGAGCCATGCCCCAGCCAAAGTTCAGGTTCCTGACCTCCAGGCAGCAGGAAAAGGTCAGCGGCCACAGCRGTCATCCACCAGTGACAGTTGACGGTGATGTCTTGTCTTTGCAGTGAATACCTGGATGTTCACCAGACGGAGCTGGACAAGCTAACGACTCAGCTCAGAGACATGAAGAGAAACTCGCGCCTGGTAGGTGCACCCAGTCCTGTGGAAGTTGCCACCGTGGGGTTCTGGTTTGGCATCTTCGTCCTGGATAGGGAGGGAGGAGTGTTGAAAAACACCAGATCCAAGGGGCAAAGTGCCGTCTGCATTGTCCTGTGTGTCTTGAAAGGAAGAAGAGGACTCTCCTCTTCGTGGTCTATTTTTAACACTCCTCAGTGTTTTCCTAGCAGGTTGGTAACAGGGAACAGGAGAAATCACCAGAATCCCTCCACCTCCCAAATACCATCAGGAAAGGAAAAATTGGAGTTTTCCTGGCATAGTGTTAGCACATTCACAATTCAGGAACTAGGACATTTACTTTATCTCCAATTGAAAAGAAAAAATGGCTCAGTGGTGCCAGGAAGGAGTGAGTCTCCAGGGGGTGACTGGGTTGAGAAGTCAGAGRAGTCCGCAGGCTGGTCCACTGAACCCCGAGCTGGAACTTCCTGTGTCCCAGTGAATCTGTGAGCGCGTGTCTGGTTGGAGAGGTATTCCTAATGCCTGCACTACTGTAAAAGATTTCGTCCACTGCCAAACGCTGTTATGCCTTCATATCTGAAGGCCTCAGAAAACCTGAGAAAAGACCACGGGTTCCTCAGAGGCGCAGCTTGTACATGGAAAAGCTTTTGTCCTTTACCTTTTTAGGAGAGGGGCTAAAATGTTGATGGTCCTTTTCAAAGGCTCCCAGGTCAAAGACTTTACCAAGATTCAGTGGTTTTATTTTCTACTAGTGTTGCATCAATCACCTCAAATGTGGGACTCCCCATAGGATGACCTTCACCCCTTGTGGAGGCCCTGGAGTATCCAAGATGGCGGCCAATGGTCCTCCTAGGGAACAGTGGTCAATGGGAGGAGGGGCTTCTGCCAGGACCTCTTGTGCCATACAAAGCCTTCAGCTGGAGGACCTAGGGATGSAGCACCAATTATACTGTGGTGTTGTGAGCTCACAGGAAATGAGCTTTCATGAAAAACAATTAGTGAAAAGCATTATCTCCACCCTCAGGAATGCTTCTTAAGTACCAATTTTACTTGTCCAAACAGCAAGGCAAGTATCTTTCCAACCTATATACCACTGCTACATTTCATGTTAACATCACTTTTTATTCTTGTTAATGTTTTTTTTTGGTGTTGGGGATGAAACCCAGGGCTCCCGTATGTTAGGCAAGTGCTGTACTGCTGAACTGCACCCCAGCCTAACATCATTCATTTTTAAAAACTTTAAAAAGGGACATGAATTCACCTACCCTCAGTGCTTGGGAGAGGAATACTGAAGGCAAGAGAAAACCCTAAATTCCCCAGTGGGCAGAGAGAACTGGGTGCAGTTTGGGGAACACAGAGGGCACATAAATATTCACTCTTTAAAGTACTCTTACCAACATTTAAAATAATTGGATTTTTATCTCTTTTAAAGCTAATGTCAAAATTTCAGTAAAATTTTGCAGGACTGATCATTATATTTCACAGGTAATGTGAAAATGCAGGTGAAACTATTGTATTAGTGTTTAACATTTTTTGAGGAAGATATACTTTAATCCACATACTCTTTGTTTGTTTCTTAGGGTGTGCTGTATGACTTAGACAAGGTAAGTTATTCTGTGTTGGGGTGTTTTTGAAAGATAAAACTGAGTCCTTGACTAGATATTCATGCGGGAGACTCCAAGAGCTGTAGAATCTTACAGAACCAAGGATTTTTCTAATCTTGGAAAACTTCATGCTTTTGTCTAATGAGGGTGATAAATAAACACCATGATCTGCAGATTCAAGGAAGTGTTCAAGGTCATTTCCATAGAAATGCTGCTGGATGGTAGGGTCTCCCGCTGTTTGGATAAGTTTGAGGACTTCCAAGTGTTTGGGGCTCCTCCGCTGAACCATCTTTAAATATTATCTATCACACTTGATCATATCTCAGACTTCTTTGATTAAAAAATGCAACCTTAATTTATGTGCCACTAAGAAAATAAAAATGAATGACTCCAGTTAAACTTAGACAGTTCTTTCTTTTCACTTAAAATCTGTGTCTTGTCCTAACTGTCAGAACTCTTTTTTATGGCTATTTAGACATGAATTTCTTACTTTCTTTCCTTTAAGCTAGATATGGAATTGCTCTCTRGCCACACCTTTCTGCGTACACAATAATTTTATTTCTATGCTGAATCACAGCAGATTCTTTCTGAAGATATTTAAGGGCAATTAAATTCAATGCGTAGGAAAACAATAACATCTACAACTCAGAGGTGACACACGCAGCGCTGATTATCTGTGAGCACGTACAGGCAGTGGCCTGCATCGGCCAGTGGAAATCCTGAAGTGCCTCCCAACTTCCTAGATGATAAACTATGAAGGGAAAATCCCAGTGTGGAACACGGAGAATGCATTATGAGAATATTTGAATATAGTCCAACTTGACCCTGTTCTGCCAGAAATCCAATACTGTCCATGGTTTGCCTTCCCTGACATTAAACACAAGGGTCACAATAATTAACCCAACTCCATCTTACAATATTTCATATTTTGAAAAATATTTTTCAAATTGATATTAAAGCATCTCTAAATAGTAACTAAAATAGGAGAGGGGAAATGTTTAGCATCAACTGTTTTTTTTTCTTCATAAGATAACAAAAAGAAATATTCACACAAACCTAAATCAACTGAATTGTGATTGACTAGACTTTTTCAAACTTCTTTTAATTCCAGCAAATTAAAACGATCGAGAGATACATGAGACGCCTGGAGTTTCACATTAGTAAGGTAATTGAAGTTCCTCTTGTCTTTGCTCCTGGTTCTCAGCTCTCGGTTACTGATCAATACACCTTTGGCCTGAGTGTAACATCTAGTCCAAGGAGAATTTCTTACCCAATTGACTCCGGAGCTGATTAGCAATTAAGGCCTACAACAAGCAGCAGACAGGGAGGGGAAATAGGAGCCCAGAGCCTGAGAGCCCAGCACAGTTTGGCTCTGCTGTTATCCTGGTCTCTCCTGAAGGCCTGCTTCCTGTGTGGCAAACACGGCTGGTGGAGGACTTGTGGGCTCCATGTGGTGTGCCTTGAGATAAGAGTGGCCCAAACTGGCCCCAGCAAAAGCTTTGCCCTCTGGTCCCACGTTCAGCTGGGCATCCCATGAACTCCTTCCTGAAGACCTTTCAGTTATGTAAAGAAGACTGTCTGTGCCCTGACATCCAGCCCTGAACCCCATAAATACTTCTCTGGTGGTGCACCGGGTCTAGTGTGATGGACAGGACGATCACCCTGTGTTCTGGACGCTCTGAGGAATTATCAGTGCCAGTTAGGAGCTTCCCCTTTGGGGACATATCAAGCCGCCAGCAATTTCCATTTCCACCCATGCTCATCAGCCTCTCCTACCAGTGCAAGGCCTGGAGGATCTTAGCACGTCTCCCTATTAGAAGTCAGAGCTTTGGACTCTGGCCCTTCCCACTCACTCTGTGGCTGTGTGGACCTTGCCTTTCCTCCCAGTGAAATGGGGCTGGGGAAGGACCCGTATCCAGTCTAGCTGATCCTAAGGATCTTTTTGTCTTGAAACCTGAATATGATATATATGTATGTATTACTGCCTTTATAAAGTACCATGCCACTTTGAAAGATACTTATTGCCTAGGCAAATCTGAAGWTGCTTTTATTTCTGCCAAACTCAATAAATAAAACAATGGCATCCATGAGAAGGGACCTGCCCAGCTACATCAGAAAAGGTACCCATACACCGTTTTTAGAAGTTGTCTGGGGATCTCCCGCATCAGATCAATCCATGGTGTTCATGTAACCTATCAGACTGCTGGCCCAGCCCCAACCTCCTGAACCAGAATGGGGCTGGGGTGTCTCRCAGGAAAGCCTCAGCTGAGATTTAAAGCACAGTAACCATGCTCTGTGTCCATCACCCACCAAGAGATCTGAGCAGCCTTGAATCTGCCAGTTCCCTCTGGTCGGAGATGAGTCCCCTGGCCTGGAGACTGAAGGCTGCTGCCATTTCTTCTTTTGTGTGTGTGGTTCTGGAGATTGAACCCAGGGCTTTGTGCACRTGAGGCAAGCACTTTACCAGCTGAGCTAGATCCCCAGCCCAACTGGAGTCTCTTCCAAGTCTAGGAGTTCCTCCAGCACAGATGAGTGAGTCCTTGGACTCAGGAGCAACAGAGAGTCACCTTGAGCTGACCCGCGGTCCTCCCCACAGTGGCCTTTCAGGGTAAAGCACAGTTGCCATCCCATTTCAGCTTCTCATCTAGGGCACAGCCACCTCTTAGAGGAAACAAAGTTCTTACCRGAATGAAAATTCCAATGGCGTAGGTAGGCCATGCCTGCCGGGAGCGCGGGTTTCCTTGTTTCTGCCCAGGCCTGGTGGTCCTGTTCTCTGCCTGACCACTCCCGGCGACTGTGGCTGGGTGGTGCTGGTGACTGAAGTCAGTGCAGGACTATAGACATTGTCAGGAATAACTAGGACGCCTTCCAGCCTCAGCCCGGAGGGTGCACTCCGACGTCTGCCCAGGGCTGTCCTCTGTGAGAAGGGCTGTGTGGCTGCACCCCTGGCCTCCGCCCACTCTGTGCCAGTAGAYGCTCAGGGTCAAGCCTCCCTAGGCTGATGGAGAATCACTGCCTTTGAAGTATGAGGTGTTGTCAGGTGTGTCTGGTGAATGTGATGAGTCGATTTAAGAGGGTCTCTTACTACGAGTAAGTGTAGAAGGGGGGTGTTCATTTTCATTTTTCCATTGTATTTTTTAAATTATGGTGTGATTTGTATACAAGAGTTCCCAGTTCTCATGGGTGCCATTTAATAAGTTTTAACAATTAAATTCTTATCTTAAACCACTTAATAAATTTATTTTTTCTAATTATTGAGCTAAGACATCACAAAAAAATTTGTTATCAATAAACAGCCTGAAGTTCTTTTTTCAAAAAAATGCTGATGTGTAAAGATCACCTTCAGATAAGCTAGGAGGTGTGTATACAAGAGTTTTCACCCCAGATTGAAGCTGAAACCTCTTCCAGCCTTGCTCCACTGACCAAGGCGCCTGTCCCAGCTCTCTGAGCCCCACCCCAAAAGGCAGGGTGGTGTAACTTGATGGCAGGATCAGAGTGAAATCTGTTTGGACAAAACGGATCACAGTGGTAGAAGTACAAGTGACTGGTGTCTGTGGAAAGGAATAACAGAGACCCAGAGCACCTTAGGCTCCTCCTGGTGACCCAGGTGACTTCTCCCAGGCCGGACAGCGACTCACSTGTCTGCCTTCCTGCTCGCACTCTGCAGGTGGACGAGCTCTACGAGGCCTACTGCATCCAGCGACGTCTCCAGGACGGCGCCAGCAAAATGAAGCAGGCCTTCGCAGCGTCCCCCGCCAGCAGAGCCGCCCGCGAGAGTCTGTCGGAGATCAGCCGGAGCTACAAGGAGTACACGGAGGTATGTGCACCGCTCACCTGCTTGCTGGCCGGCCCCACCTGGGCAAATAGGGACCCCCACTCATTCCATGATCAGTGTTATGATCAGTGTCATGGTCAACCTGAAAATAGAAAATACATGCTAGTGAGGCAATAGTGGAATAAAATAAACAGGCCACGGTGCTCTGATTTTGTCACTTAAATGCATTTCCAAATATTCTAGTGTAGAGTCCAACCTAGCTTTACCCTGTTGAAGAGCCCTTGTGGCTAAGGTGGCTACGGTGGGGGTCAGGGCTGCGCATCAGTAGTCCTCCTGCCTGCAACTCTGTGTGTGAGAGGGACTTTTATCTCCAAGGAGACAAGATAAAGAGCCGTGAACAGAAGTGTGCTRTTGTGAGGACCTGGTTGACAGTCTCTGGGGCCAGGCCCTCCTGGGGTCACCTGATACCAATGTCCTTGATGAAGTGGCTGAATTATTAAAGCTGCACTTCTCACTATCCCTTGGGCCTTTATTCAGAGATCCGATTTCATGAATGAAGTCATCGCCTGGCCTGACCAGGGCGTGTTGGACAAGCCCCAGGGCTGGGCATCTGCTTTGGGATGGCTTTGTGCACACCCTGCCCACTGCCTCCTCGTCTGAACCACGCTTTCCTCTCCACAGAGTCTAAAACAGTTCACTTCWTACCTAAACTTTCCTTTTCAAAATAATGTTTTTAGTGCATAAATCGGATAGGAATTCAAAGAATAAAATTATACATTGAAATAATTATTTCCATATTGTCAATACAGTTGTCACAATATTTTAAAAGTCAAATGTGTGGTATASTGTGGTGCCACTTCTCTATTAATACTAAGAGCTAGTAAGATTTCAAGGCAGGAAAAAATATATATGGTTTCTTAACTTTATCTGTAAGACATGATGTGACACCAACTCCTGATTGCTGTCTCAGGGTCAAGGTCACACATGGGTGCCACTGGTACTGCTGTGGCTTCTTTCCACATGCATGACATGGATGTCTTAGGCCGAGTTTAGTGGATGTGATTCCTCCTACTCACCCCACCCAAGTGCATGGACCCAGAGGTAAAGACCCCCAGCTCAGAAGCATCCCTGGTCYGTCAGTCCTTGTTTCTGTAGATCCCTGAAATCAAAAGAGCAGTTCCAATATGGAGGCTGCTCATAGCACAGAGGCAGAGAACCTACCGCAGCCGCAGAGGGCGTTTCAGAAACACCCCGCCTGGCTCAAGTGCCAGGGCATGGGGTTGTGACTTTGCTCAGAGTCAAAGGTGTGGGGCTCAGTTTCGGCGAGAGGAAGGGCCGCCTTAGAGGAGAAAGTTGACCAGGACTTGGTGGCTGGTGCCTCTCTTGACATCTCTGTGGCATATGCTCTTGCCACCGCAAACGCCAGGATTTGACCGTGGAGGATCCGACGCTGGCTGCTCTGATGAGGTCCTCAGACACTGGGGTTAGGATGGGAGGGATGTGCCCACCCACATGTCTGGTGTCCATGCTGCTGCCGTGCTCCCCTCAACCTCAGCCTGAGGAGCGGACCCTCGTCAGACCCAGGAATCATTGGGGGGGGGGTTATGGCACTGCAGCAGGAGGCCTGCCTCGCCCACCGGAGCAGAATTCAGTTCCTGTGCTCTTTTTGCCCCCGGTTTTTATTTAAAAAATTTAAACCTATGGAAAAGTTGAAAGACTAGTGTATTGAATACCAGGCCCCGTACCGAGGTTTTCCCATGGGTAAAGTCTTGTCATATTCTCTCCCTCTCATGGGATTAGTTTTTCTTCCAAGTCACTTGAGAATAAGATATCGTGACATTTCATTTCATAAATATGTTACCATGGATCTCTTCTTAAAAATCTTTTTCATTGATAAGTAAAAACTTTATGTACGGTATTCAGCATTATGTTTTCAAATATGTATTCTGTAGAATAGGTAACTCAGGCCACTTAACACATGGCATCTCTCTCTCTCTCTCTCCCTCCCTCTCCCTCTCTCTCTCTCCCTCTCTCCCTCNTAACACATGGCATCTCTCTCTCTCTCTCTCCCTCCCTCTCCCTCTCTCTCTCTCCCTCTCTCCCTCCCTCTCTCTCTCTCTCTCTCTCTCTCTCTCTCTCTCTCTCTCTCTGCATCTCTGCAGTGCTGGGAATTGAACCCAGGGGCCGTGGATCTCTTAATAGTAACAGTGCATCTTCTGCATAACCACATTCCATTGCAACTAAGAAAATTGACAGTCCTCCTGTAAAATTATCTAACATCTCATCCACTTTCAGGTTTCTCCTATTAAGCCCATTGATGCCTTTTATAGCTACTTTAGTTTATTTGCTTAATTTTCAAATCAGGTTGTAATCAAGGTCAAGGTATTACAATTGGATACTATGTCTCTTCCCTCTCTTTAGAATTTGTTTCCCCATGATACTTCGTGTGTGTGTGTGTGTGTGTGTGTGTGTGTGTGTGTGTCCAAGCCAGTTCTCATAGAATCTATATCCACATTCTGAATTTGTCTTTGGTATAATTGGACTTGTTCATCAATGCCTGGATGTCCTGCTTAGCCTCAGATTAAACATTTGGCAAGAATGTTTCAAAGGCTGTGCTGTGCCACTCCCGTCATTCATTCAGGGCCTGCTGTGTATTAAAATGACCTCTGCTTTGAGTGCCTGGGAAAGAAGGCCACTCTAATGCCCCTCTGCTTTCTGCCCCACAGAACATGTGTGCCCTGGAAGCGGAGCTGGAGAATCTGCTGGGGGAGTTCTCCATCAAGATGAAAGGTAACCCTTCCCCATCGGGGAGAGTACTCTGCAGAGCTCCCTGAGGTCTGAGACGCATGCTCCTGTTTCCTTGTACAGACAGGGCCGCCCATGCTCAGCCCTACCCACAGTGTTAGCATATCCGTGCTTCTCGTCCTGAGTCTTGCCTTCAGACTTAAAAAAGTACATTCATTATCCGAGAACCTCAAACATACACAAAGGTGGAGAGCACATCACAATGAACCTTCATAAACATACACCCATCACCTAGATTTAGTAATTAGCAGACTTTTGCCTGATCTGTTTTCTTGTGTTTGTTTTCCCTTTGATGAATCAGAAGTCCTTTGATGAAGTGAAACCTAGTTCTGTCAGGCTGCCCTGGTACTCCAGTGTGCATGTCTTGAAGAATAGGGCCATCTTATTATAGCTGTGGGCTGAGTCCTGTCACATTACCACATCTAACAAAGTCAACAGGCCCGATGGTAACCCATTTCCTTACTGAATTCCCCCAGTCGTCTTACAGCCAATTTGCTTGGGTTAGGATCAGGACCAGGCATCATGATTAGTCGGTGGGTATACCTTTAGGTTCCCTTTCATCTGAAACGAACCCATGCCCCCTTTCCCCTCCGAGGTCTGGTAGAAGATCCCGCTGGGCCAGTGTCTTACTCCAGAYTTGCCGGCTGGCCTCCTTGCCGTGTGGTTTGAACAGCTCCTTTACTCCCATGTGTCTGTAAACTACCACCCATCGTTTAGTCACAGAGGACGGCGCCTCTGTGGCGTTCATTCCAGAAAGTTCCATTCTAGAAGCATCATTGATTTATACCACAGCATCTTCAGAACAAAAGGGAGGTCTGGCTACAGATGGAACCGGCCCAGGGSTCACCAGATCCACAGCTCRGTGGCCAGGCAGGAGGCCCGTTTCTGTTTGACTGCAGTCCAGGGCTGGTGCTTAGCCTTCTGTTTTCTCCTGGGCTTTTTAAGTAGCTTGATCCCTGGGCTGTTAATGGGGATTTAGTCACCCTCTTGTCTACTTTCTGCAATTAGGGAAGTTAAGAAGGCAGACTTCTTTAAAGAGTGCTCAACAGGAGAGCTTCCTTTACAAATGAGTCTCCTACCTCTGGAGGCGCACTGTGCCCTGTGGGTGGAGTGAGGACCTCYGAGTGGGTACACCCTGGCCCTCAGCTCCCCGGTGGTGTTGCGGACTTGCTTTCAGAACCCCTGAGTCCTGTTCAGCCTGGGCGTCTGCACCTGTCTGGGTTTTCAGTTCTGTTCTCTTCCTGGGGACTTTCCAGGCTCTCCACCCGAGTCAGTGGTTCAAAGCCCCTTGCAGGAAGCCAGAGCATGTGGCGCTGGGGTGGGGTCCTAGAGGGTGTTTTTAACTTTGAGGATGTCAGCAGCCAGCGCCACCCCTGTGGACCCGCCGCACCAGCACAGGGTGGGCCCTGCTGCTCCTGTTTCCGATACTCACTGTTACCTGAAGCCTCCATTTTTGGTGAGAGGGAAAACGTCTTCATTTCCTACCTGGGAAATGAGGGCTCAGGGAGCTTCAGTGATTGGTCCTAGAAGTGACACAGTTAGTTGGTGTTGAACTTGAAACTGAATTCCAGGCTCTTGGCTCCTGCTGCCCCGGCCCAGCCACACACTGTGAGAAAGTTCTTGCTCAAAGGGTGGTCCCTGCTGGGAGAGGTCTYCCACCCCACACAGGCACTCTTGCTCAAAGGGTGGTCTCTGCTAGGGGAGGTTCCCCACCCCACACAGACACCTTGGGGTGAGGGAGGGGCTGCCCACCCACCCACGTGGTCCTCAGGGCTGGTTGACAGCCGTGGGTGGCATTGGGGCCCTACCACCCCAGAGGGTCCAGAATCACCCTGCTGCTACCAGAGCTAGGGAGGTGGGCATGGTGATGGACTGCTGACCTTCAGCTCCCGCCTGGCCCAGGGGTTTCTCCCAAGGCTCTCAGACCTGAGGCCGACTCTGCTTTCCCAGGGATGGACTTCTGTCACCTCTGCTTTCCTAATGTAACCTAAAAGCCGGAGGCCACATCTGTGCAGCCTTTGGAGGGTAACGCCCTGTAGATACCCACCCCTCCCTGCAGAAAGGGCAAGGGAAGCCCTGCCTGCTGCCAAGAAATCCTAGCTCTTTGCCAGGGTGGATTTCTTCTGTTACTCGTTCTGGTAAAAATAACCACCCCATCGCAGGCATCGACCAACTGAAGCTGTTGCACGATACCCTCAGATCTGGCAACCCTGACTTCCTCCCACCACACCCTTCCCACTTCCCCTCCTGCCTCACCCCAACACGCACTAACARCCAGGGCAGGGCCCCGGTGACACCCACAGTGGAGAAGGCGCTTCCTGGGCGCCTCGTGATGGTCCCTGGCCTGAGCTCCATGAGAGCTCCTGGGGAAGTGGAGACCTGAGCCAGGGCACTTAATTCAATGGAGTAAATGACCAGCTGGACCAATAACAGGACCAGATGGCTGTGGAGGCCGGAGGGGAGGCAGGAGGAGTGGGGAGGACGGAAGGAGGCTAAACAGTGTCACCCGTGAATTAGAATCAGCAGGACTGGAGTAGCACTCACCAAAGTAGGGAAGCTGCTTCCAAAATGACAGGACACSGTCCTATCAACATGAATTCTACTGTCATGTGCAGCTAAAAGGGACCAATGATTTAAAAAAAGATGACAGGACAGACATAGTGGTGCMCGCCTATAACCCCAGCCACTTAGGAGGCTGAGGCAGGAGGATCACAAGCTCAAGGCCAGACTCAGCAACTTAGCAAGAACCTGCCTCAAAATAAAAAATAAGAAAGGCTGAGTTTGTAGCTCCCTGGTAGGATGCCCCGGGGTTCAATCCCCAGTAAAAAATAAATAAATAAATAAAAACAGAAGAAGAAGGAGCCTGAGAAAAGACCCGGGCGGCAGAGTGCTTGTTGGGAGGCGTGGGCAGTTCTTTGGGGCCAGATTCTGAAATGCCGGGAATGCCCCTGCGGAGAGAGCCCTAGCTCCRAGACGGGGGACCAGGATGGAGGTTCCTTGGGGAAAACCGGTTTCCTTCCCGGTGACCCCAGGCTAGTTAAGTTCCAAGCACGCGTCCTGAAGTCTGGKCTAACTCCTTCAGCTTTGGGGCCCAGTGGGCCTCGGGAGAGCTGGTCAGCAAGTCAGTAAGGCTGACGCGGAGCCACCGTCAGCCACGGGCAGTGTCCCAGGGGCAGGAAGGGTGACTCTTGAGGAGGAAGATCCTGGTGCAAGMGGGAGAAGCCATGAAGGTGTTCTGGCCCCTTCCACGTCTGAGCACAGGCCACCCGTGGGCAGCTGCGCCCCGCGGCTCCTACCCTCCACTGAGGCTGTGAAGAGCTAGTGTGTCAGGAGCGAGTGAAGCTGCAGAGGGTTGGAGTCCCCTGGGCCGCGGCCTCCCTCCACTCACCCCTCGGGGCTCAGAGTGGTCCTGAGGAAAACTTCCCAGAGTGCAACAGTGATCCCCAAACTGCAGGAGGAGAAACGAAACGTTCCGCTTTCCTGGCTGGGAACRGGAGCCCCACGTGCCCGAGTGTGCCAGGAGCCGACAGCCCACTCGCATGCACCTGCACACACAGGCAGGGCTTCAGGGAGCTCTGCTGCGTCCTTGCTGTAATCAGAGTCTSTGTGACGCCTCTACAAGCAGTTCCAGGAAAGTGCTTAATAACTTGGATTACATAAGAGAAGTCATCACTGTGTACCTTTCTCCCTCTCAGTTAAGGTCTTCAGATACGAAATTTCTGGCAATATTGAAAGGGGGGGAAAAGTCAAAGGATTTTTCCCTTTCCTCACCTTTATCTAGCAACCATAGTGGGCCAGTTTCTTTTTAACCAAGCTTTTATTGTAGTTGCACACATAAACAGGCTATGAATTWGTCCCAAACTCATTTGCAGGCTTTTCTTTAAAAGCACTTTGGATTTTTATTAGAATTAGCATGTCAAGCTTTGGATTTGTGAAAGGCAGCCAATTATGTTTTCCTTCAGAAGTATGTTTTTTAAAGACTCAGGGCCCTAAATTATTAGTGAAAATGGGTTTCTTTAATTCTGCTCTTAATTCAGTTAAGTCCTAAGTGCCTTGCCACCTTCTATTAATAAAAGCTCTTCTGAATGGACCACTGGCTGGGTGCACTGGACAAGCTGGTGAGTTGCTGCCACCTACTGACGGCTGCTGGCAACAGCAGGTTCTTTGAGCGTTTCTCTAGCCCTTGCCTCTTAACCCCAGCCCATCAGTGGGGTGGAAGAGCTGTGTCCTGTAGAGTCTCAGTTTGTTACCCAGCTCTTGGTAAAGGAGAGGCACCTGGTAACATGATCCCTGTGTTCTTCAGATGGCTAAATTCATGTTGAATGCAAAAAGAACCCAGAATACAAAGACTATAAATGTGGAGGTGAGGAGGCAGAGGAAGCAGGGACCCGTTAGTTATTTGGACATCTTTTCTGTGTTATGGATCTAAGAATCACAGGGCTGTTTTCTACCAGCTCATCAAAATCATCTCCTCTCAAGCTGCAACTGAGAAATCACTGGATAAACAGAAACAGGATGTTTGTGTCTTCTTGAATTTCTGCAGCGACTTTTGAAAGTTGTGCCTTATAATTTTTAAAACATTGAGAAGCGGGGCATGGTGGCACATGCCTGTAATCCCAGCGGCTCAGGAGGCTGAGGCAGGAAGATCGTGAGTTCCAAGCCAGCTCCAGTAAAAGCAGGCACTAAGTAACTCAGGGAGACCCTGTCTCTAAATAAAATACAAAATAGGACTGGGGATGTGGCTCAGTGGTTGAGTGCCCCTGAGTTAATCCCCATCCCCCCCCAAAAAAAACATTGAGAAATATATCCCATAAATTAAAAATATACATAATTGCTCTACCCAGTACTAAACTTTGTTAAAATGATCATAAATATCCAACAAGCCTTTTCCATGTGTTTATGTTGACTACCAATATGTTAGTAGCTCTTTTATATCTTTTTTGTTACAAAATAATTAATCACTTGATCTTTTTCTTTTTTTAAAAATTTTTTAGTTGTCATCAGAGCTTTATTTTATTTATTTATATGTGGTGCAGAGAATTGAACCCAGGGCCTCACACATGGTAGGCTAGTGCTCTACCACTGGTCCACAACCCCAACCCAATCACATGATCTTTTGAAAATCAAATAGAAATTACATATTTAATAGGAAGGAATCAAATATTTGTCATCAAATATTTAACTTTCTCCCCGATTCCGCCTGCCAGAGATAGTTATTCCTAAGTGTTGGTCAGTTTTTCTAGATTTGTTCCTTTGGATACATTTATATGTAGTTGAGATAAGACTCTTCATGACACTTTGCATTCTGCCTTATTTTTTAATTACAAATATTGCCTTTTATTAAAACTTCACTGCAAACATTTGTACTAAATTTTTAATTGGAATTTTTTAAATTTGTAGTTGTAGATGGACACAATGCCTTCATTTAATTTATTTATTTATATGTGGTGCTGAGGATTGAACCCAGTGCTTCACATGTGCTAGGCAAAGCACTCTGCCACTGAGCCACAACTTCAGCCCTTAATTGGAAGTTTTATCACAGATATTTTTAACCAGAAAGTTAAAAAGTGACAAAGATTTTTTTCCCCATTTCTATGGGATTTATTTAGATCCTTGATTAAAATTTTCAGACTCTGGGTCCCTGTCAGTATAAAGGCTTTGCTTTATGATTGGCAGGAAGCAGCCCACTGAAGCCAGAGCAGCTGATCAGATGGAGCTGGGATCACCCATCAGCCTCTGCCCTGAGCTCCGTGCCCTGGGTCGGGACTCGCCTTTCTCCCGCTCCATACTCAGGCTTGACACACAGTAGGCCTTTCAGAAATACTCTGGGGGGCTGAGAGCGCAGCTCAGTGGTAGAGCACTGGCCTAGAATGTCTGAGATGGAGGGTCCAATTCCTAGCGCCTCCCAAAAAGGGTGGTGGGACGCATAGGCCCCTCGCCCAGCCTCACCTGCCTGCAGAGCAGGGCCACCTTGCTGTGACGAAGTTTGCTGTCACTGCCGCTCTCCTAGTGGGACTGTCCTACAGAAGATGAAAGGCAGTCTGTCTCTTTTTATTTTTGATTTTAATTATGTAAGGAATACATTCTCATAAAATCACAAAATGAGGAAAAAAGCAAAGATCTTCTGTCATTTCTGCTTTGCTGTGTGCTTCCCTGATGGTATTAATTTGCTGCAGATCTTATTTATTTGTACTCAAGATTGAACCCAGGTGTGGTCTACCACTGATCTGCATCCCCTTTTTATTTTTATTATTTTTTTAAATTTTGAGACCAGGTCTCTCTAAGTTACTAAGGCTTGTCCTCAAACTTGTAATCCTCCAGCTTCAGCCTCCCAAGACACTGGGATTATAGCCATGCACCACTGTGCCTGGGGAGAGCCCATCTTTTAAATGAATAGTATACATCATGTTCTCAGTACCTGGGTATGTAACCCTTACCACATTCTAAGCACCTACTGTGTGCCAGATACCATCTGTTTCCTTACCGACAGTTTTATAAGGTGGACATTGTTATCTCTCTTTTAAAGGTGAAGAAACAGGGTTAGGTAAATTATCTAGGGTGGGCTAGCTGATAGGTAGCACAGAAAGGAGCCTCACTTTAATCCGTCTTCCAGTTCACAGGCCCTCGGCTGCTCTAACCGTGTTTTGTTCCATACTGTGGGTATCTGGGAAATCTTTCCTGATTTCCAAATCGTTACCCTGATGCGTGGTGCAGACCCTCGCCCACAGCAAGCTCTCGGTACATGTTGATAGAAAGAAGAAAGAGACTGGCCAGAGCCAGCGTTCCCGGAGGGGCCGTGTAGCTTGCCGACATTTGGTTTTGCTGCTGCAGATAGAGAGCGTGCCAGGCCTCAGATGGAGCGGGTCCTTTCAGAAATGGCCAGAGCCGGGAGGCCACCTCTCCCCTCTGCGGGTGCAGGTTGTTGCCAGGTGGAGGGCTGGTTTGATTGGTCTCAATCACTAGTTTGTGTGAATGCAGCGATTTCATAATGCAGTAGACGGCGGCATCAGGGTGCTGGGTGGGAAGGACGGGGGAACAGGAAGGGGTGGGCTGGAGCCTTAACTGGGAAGCCCAAAGAAACCTCCATCTCACAACAGGAAGGAAGACTAGACACCCGTTTATTTTCATGGGAACATGTACACAAACAAGTGAGAGTGTCTTTTGGGCCCTAATGCCCTGACCCTGGAACCTGCCGAGGTGCCCAGAACTCTAGCCACCCTGGAGCAATGTCCCTGCCCCAGAAACCCTCTCCCCTCCCCCCCTCAAGGAATGTCCCTCCAGCCACCATAGATGGGACTCCCAAAAAAGCTGTTCCACGCAGATGGCCCCAAAAATGTTATCTGAGGTTTGCCAAAGTGTGGCACTGCACCTGGATTTCTCCAGGTGCGGCACCGCCTTGGGGATGCACCTTCAGCATCTCATGTCCTAACTGCTTGCCTGCAGGTCTGGCCGGCTTTGCGCGCCTCTGCCCTGGAGACCAATACGAAGTGAGTATTCTCTGATCCACAGGTGGGGACTGAAGACCTGAGGGGCCAGGGCTAGTGGTATTGTTTTRCTTCTGGAGTGTTTCTTATTTTTATTTGGAAAAACATTCTAAGCCCATGAGAAGATCTGGAGATGGGCGAAGACCTGCCCCCTGCCCTTTCCCTGGACTCCCCTCTTTTAACCTGGTGCCACAGTGGCTTAGTTATCACTGCTGCCCTCGAGCCCCTACGATTCAGCTGCGCTGCTTTAGAGTAGGATGTCCCCCGCCTGGCCCTTTAGCCCAGCCTCCTGCCTGGCCCTCCCGCCTGGCCCTCCCGCCTGGCCCTCCCGCCTGGCCCTCCCGCCTGGCGTCCTCTGGGAAGTGGGAGGATGATCCGCACAGCAGCGCACAGCTCCCAGTGTGGCTCACTCTGGCTCTTATCTTCTTATACAGTCTGTGTTCAGATTCCGCGCATGCCCCAGAATTGTACTTCGTAGCAGTTTTTTTCCCCCCTAATTGAAGACCTAATCCAGGACTGTGACCTGTTRAGTGTAATGACTGAAGAAGGATAGAAACGCAGGCCTGTCCATACAAACACCAACTCCACGGAGTACAAAGTCCTTTCCCGTGTTCCCCTTCTCAAGAGACCTCACTTAATGATCTGTCCACCTCCTCCAGTGCCCTCTGCCTGACCAGGGAGAGCCTGCACAGCCTCCCCAGAGCATGTGTGGGTCACAGCCTTGCCAGCTTGCTTCGTCACCCAGGGGCAGGTGTCTCTAGGCAGGTTTTAGGGGTGGGCTCTGGTCTCTTGGAGGATCAGGGCCCTGGAGGACTAGTCCCACGGCTGTTCTACTGACACAGAAGAAGTGAGGGGGGACCCAAGGGCGAGGGCCGGGACTTTACTGAAGACCCTCCAGGCCTCGTCTTGGGGAAGAAGAGGTGCCCCCTTTAATATGCCCCTTCCCCAGTCATGGTCAAGACAGGCGGCTGGGGTGATGGGGGCCGCCCTGGCGGGCCTCCCTGCCCAGTCCTGGTGTTGGGGAGCGAGCCAGGGCAGTGGAGCCTGAGGCCTTGGCATGTCTGCCCCCAGGTCTTCATGAAGTGCGGCCGGCAGAGGTGGAAGCTGAAGGGCAAGATAGAGGTCAACGGCAAACAGAGCTGGGATGGGGAGGAGACCGTCTTCCTGCCCCTGATCGTCGGATTCATTTCCATCAAGGTCAGTACTGCCCCTGCCTCTGGTGGTCGTCCTGGTGCCAAGTTGGACGATCCATCAGGGGTGACCTTTCCCTAAGACTTCTGCCATCTCACAGGCTCCTGACCCCACAAGTCTGTGACAAGGACAGCTGCCCTTGTAAGAAAGCTGCCCTGTCAGAGCAKCCCTGAGATGGGCTTTTGAGATACCTGCCTCGGGTGGCAGACCGTCTCTTTCTGAAAGAAGCCACCAGCTGGTTCAGGAAAAGGAAAAGGGGGAGCCCATTCCCTGTTCTCTCTGCCTGTCTTCCTGCCAGGTCACAGAGCTCAAAGGGCTTGCGACTCACCTCCTGGTGGGCAGCGTGACCTGTGAGACCAAAGAGCTGTTTGCAGCCCGACCGCAAGTGGTGGCCGTGGACATCAACGACCTCGGAACCATCAAGCTGAACCTGGAAATCACCTGGTAGTAAGTTGCCCTTTCCCTGTCGTCCTGGGGCAGCGTGTGCTGCAGGTGCTGGGAGGCCGGTGTGGACGTCGGCAGGGCAGGGAGCCTGTTGGAGCAGACCGAGGGGCTGCAGCAGACCTGCTGGGCSAGGGCCTGTGGATAAGCTGGCCGTGGCCCTGCTCCCCTCCCCTTCTCCCTACCTTAAGCCTCTTACTCTGCCTCTTCCCTCCCTCTCCACCTGCAAACAGASACACCAAGTATCATGGCTCCCAAGCAAACCACTGGGAGCTCCAGTAAACTGTCCAGAGAGGGAGGCTTTGCCCTCAGGCGGTCCCTGCTTAGCCTTCTGACCCGTACTTCACTTCCCGCTGCCCTGGAGGACTGCAAGTGCCCTCTAGGCGTCCTTTACTGAAACAGAGCATTTCCACAGGCTAGAGGCAGCTCCTGTAAAATTTACAGGTGGCTTTCCAGGGTCTCCTCCTGCCRTCCACACTGGATGTCATGTCACTGGCCCACCCAGTGACATTCGGGGCCTCCCTTCCACGTGGGAGTCAGGGTGGTCATGGCCAAGACCCCGCTGCCTCTCTAGGAAGCAGTGCCAGCCTTTGCCCAGCCCTGCCCTCCTGCCCAGTGCAGCCACTGACGTCACWGAGCAGGCCATCCTGCTGGATGACCAGGGCCTCAGGATGATCAGCAGCATCCCCGCAAGCAGGCTGCAGTCCTCGGCGGCGCATGGGGGGCTCTAGCGACTGAAAGTGGTGGGATTCTGTTTTGGAGTTTTTCATCAGAATCAAACAGCAGTCTGTTCCTGGTTCGAACTGTTCAGGGTCTCGCCCGACAGAGCTCGAGGATTTTCACAACTTCCCCAACATCTGGTGACATGGGAGCCAGCTTTTGTGAGTCCCCGTTTCTAGGCTCACGAGGACACAGACACACCTAGGCCAGGAGGGAACTGGTGCTCACAGCTGTGATCACCTGTGGCCCCTTGGGGAGCTCTGAATTCCGTCCTCTGCTCCACTTTCTTTCTTCTTGGCTTATTTTCTGACAAACAGTTTGGCCAAAACCAGCCCAGTGCCCTGGTTTGTGTTCACCTAAAAAGGTRCTCTCTTGGCCTGCGGTCCTGCGGTCACAAGTGACTAACGGGYGGCTGCCTGTGGTTTTGCAGTCCCTTTGACGTGGAGGACACGACCCCATCCTCGGGGGGTGCGGGGAACAAGACGGCAGCGCTGCAGAGGAGGATGTCCATGTACAGCCAGGGCACCCCGGAGACGCCCACCTTCAAAGACCACTCCTTCTTTGTAAGTTCCACGTGACTCTGGAGCAGAAGTTGTGTCTGAGTCGTGCTTGTGCCCAGCACTGGAGAGGCCCAGCAGCGGGTGTTGGGGTTCTCAGGAACGCCTACTCACGCCATTCTTCAAGGTCTTCCTAGTCGAGGGCTGGCTGAGGAAGCCACCTCCCCGTCGCCTTGGGTCCATGCACAGTGGTCCCTGGTCCTTCCTCTCCTTCCCTCCCTGTCCTTACCTACTGCTGGACCATACTGGGTAGACTGCTCCAAAGGTTCTCTAGCATTAGTCGCTGAGAGAAGTGGACGTAGGTCCGGGCCTCGGCCCACCTGCTAGCCAGCTAGGGTAACGCAGTAACCTGATTCTCTCCACTCACCCCKCCCCACGCCCTACTCTGACTTCAGAGGAGCCAGCTGCGTCCCTCTGCAGACAGGCCGTGGTGGCTGTCTGTCTTGAGCRCCTCCAGGGACTCTCTCTTTGCCAAGCTGCACCGCAGCCGCTCTCTCAGGGACCTGCCCTCCCTCGGCCTGAGCCCCATGGCTGTGCTAGAGTTCTATGTGAGTGTGGCCCGCCCGGGKGACGTGCCTGACTTCGTGACTTCAGGGCCCATGGCATGGTGCTTCTGCATGTCCCTTCTTTTTCTTCTGGCACTGGGGTTGGACCCAGGACCTCGGCTGCAGCTCGCACTCTGGCCCTGAGCCGCCCCAGCCGTCCTGCGTGTCTTCCCTCACCTCCCTGTTGTTCTCCAGGCTGGCTGTGCATGCAACTTGTGTGAATTCTCCTTAGATAAGCCCYGTTTTGTGCTGTGATTTTTCTCCACTGTGGCAAAGATATCCATGGTGACCAGATTTTTATTTTTAAAAGCACAGCTATCCTTAAAAGCAAAGGAGGTTTTATTTCAGAAAGTATCAGCCTTTCAAAGACTGGCCTTCAAGTCTTTGAAGGACTTAGACTGATTTTACTAGCACTGTGTCTATCTAAAGAGGTTGTGGGTCTTGGTTTATCATAGCATGTTAATTCTTCAATGCTGTAGTAGAAGAAACAGGGATATAGCAGGCTGCTTACTTTATATGAGTGACACGTGGTGTCCTAAGAGAATACATGTGTACTTGTACATACATGGAATATTCTGTTCTTTTCAGACACATAAAGTCATCTTTGAATGTCCAGGGAGAAGAAGATGAAGTCTTCAGGCTAATAGCAATGTCATCATAGTAATAATTACATCTTATTCATTGAACCAAAAAGCACAGATGAAAAGGATGAGGGTAAACTCTGGAGTTTCAGAGGAAAATCACAAGACTGTATGGGGAAATGCACACAGAGTCATACATAAGAAGCAATAGAGCTCACTCAGCTGCCCACCTAACTGTCCATGCAATGCTTATGCACACTCAGATGCCACGGGTTGGAGGGTTTGGGARGTCAGTAGGGTTTCAGAGCATGTTTAAACAGGAGCAAGGATACTAAAGCTCAACGGCTTCGTGTAGCCTCGTGGATGCACCTGAAGTCCCCCAAACAGCCATCCTCACCCCACCCAGCCCACCTTCCAGGCCCATCTCTTACCCTGCACCCACTGTCCTCCAAACTCRCCACGTCCCTCCAGGATCTGGTATCTTTGCATACGTTGTCCCTGTCCTCTCCCCATCCTCTCCTTCACTGTATTGAAGGCTGGATGCAGGTCCTCTCTTGGGCAGCACCTCTCCCCCTGCTGGGACACTTACCTCMTGACACCAAGGTAAAATCAACCCAGTCAAGGACAGAAGAATGAYGTTTACTTGGGGCTTGTGAGGATGGCGATACTTGGAGACAGAACTCAGGCAGCCTTAGAAATGCTCAGCTTGAACTCCCAGGGCAGGGAAGGGGGCATTAACTACACCTCTCCTTCATCAAGAATTGTGAAGGCCAGGACATGGGCCTGCAGAGGGTCTGAGTGCATGTGCAGGGGCATGTCCAGCAGCAGCAGGGGCACTGACACCTCTGCGAGTAGATGTGACCTGTCTTGGGTCYGCTCCTGTTTGGCTTGCTGGAATGTTTTATGAGAATTGTCATTTTATATATAAGTAAAACGGGCACTGGCCTGATGATGACCATTTACAGTCATTCCTGGTGTCTGCAGCAGGTCCCAGCCCCTTGGATACCAAAATAYAGGGATGCCCAGMCCCTCRCAGGACACAGTGTAGCATRTGCATGTAACTTCACACATCCCCCATGCACTGTAAACCCTCTCTGGGTTACTTCTAACATCTGATGCTATGCAAAGGCTCAATCTTACACTGTACTGTTTAGGGAATAAGACAAGAAGAAAATGTATGTGTTCAATACATATTTTTTTTCAAGTATTTTCAGTGTTTGGTTGTCTCTGCATGTGCAGAACTCATGGACACAAAGGTGATTTAAAAATCCAATCTGGAAYGCAGAAAAACCAGCCATGATGAAGGAGTTAGATAACTAGAAAACACAGAGCGGCATTTGGCATCTGGGCACTCTACACAGATGCAGCCTAGGGGAAGCTGGCTTAGCAAGTGCAGCACCAGCGTGAACGAATCGACCCTCTTCAGACTTCCACTCCCCGCTGCAGAGCCTGTCGGGGACACAGCCTGCATCTGCTAGACACGTTGGGAACCTGGGGGATGCCTCATGGAAGATAGGTGTTTGTTTCTTAGTCTCGTTCAATCATTTCTAGAGAAGCTACGCAAATGTATGGTTGACCTTGAAGTATTTATGGCATGTTTACTAAATTAATAAAACATTTTCAAGAGTCTGGGGCTTGTGGGTAGAGATTTTCAAAACATAATTTTTGAAAACCAAAGTAGAACAAACCATCACATCCTTGAAGCAAAGTAGCAAGAATGTTGGGAAGTCCTTTAAGGTCGATGCCAAGAGGAAAAGAAAACATTCATAGACTTACTCAAAGTATGGCTGCCAAATACTGTGAGATCCTGGGATTGAGAACACAAGCAACCATCCCACCCCAATCCTAACTGCTTCTTGTGGAAGATGTCAGACCCAAGAATAGGCACGTGAACTTTCACCTAAATTCAACTAGGCAGTTTGCAAGGGCTTGTTTTCTTTTGCCACACACACACACACACACACACACACACACACACACACACACACAAGACAAATAAAACAATAATGTGAAAGTTCTAGCTCTTTCATGTTGACTCCTTACATCTCGTCTGAAAACAAACCCTGCCAGATGCATCATTTGTATTGTCTTTATCCTCAGGCGAATCTGCCCRATGACATCTTTGAAACTGGGAAGACGGCGGAGCAGCCAAAGCCACTCTCCCTCAGCTCCTGTGACCTGCCCAACGGGGACTGTGCCCTCCCCTGCAGCTCTGCTGCGTCTCCCTCTGGCTCAGCGAATCCAGAAATCACCATCACCCCTGCAGAGCTCGGCCACASCAGCCCGCCTTCCCAGGACGAGGGAGGGGATGACGGCAGCTCGGCATCTTCCAGGAACTCCTYGGGAGAAGGCCAGGAACCCGAGTCACCCCTGCAGGAGGACCCAGCGGAGCCCACGGCCCTGGGGGCTGAGCGCCTGTTCCTGGAGAATGCAGTCGCCGAGGCCCTTCTGCAAGAGTCGGAGGAGGCCTCGGAGCTCAAGCCTGTGGAGCTGGACACCTTTGAAGGGAATATCACCAAGCAGCTGGTCAAGAGGCTCACCTCGGCCGAGGGGCCGGCAGCCACAGAGCGTCTGCTTTCTGAGGACTCGGCCGGTGGGGAGTCCTTCCTGGATGGCAGCTTGGAGGACGCCCTGAGTGGGCTGTTCCTTGCTCTAGAACCGCATAAGGAGAAGTACAAGGAGTTTCAGGACCTGAACCAAGAGGTCATGCATTTGGATGATATTCTAAAAGTAAGTGCCTTTTCTGAGAAATGGGATCAGGTGTGCAGAGAGCTGTCCTAAACCAGCTGTCTGTTAAGATGGCCTATCTTTCTTCTTCCCCTCCTCCTCCGCCTCTTCCTTCTCCTCCTTCTYCTAAGCCCTACCCAGTCACAGGAGCAAGAGGTGATCATCATGTAAATGGCAGTGATGATTGAGGCCATTTAGACAGATCCATTTTTATTTCCCTGACAACAGATCAACTTCACTAAACTGATTAGGAGCTCATTTAAAAGCTCATAAGACTGTCTAAACCCTTCTAGTCCCAGAGCTCATCATTCTGATCCTAAACGTGAGATGCTGGCACAGTGACCAGCCCAGCCTCACAGATGTTACTGGACAGGGTCCCTCTCAGGAAATAGAGGAGCCCTCCCCAGTGGGAGTCCCAGCTGGTCAGCCCCAGCGTGAGCGCCATGGCACCCTGTCCTCCAGCGGTGCTCCCTGATAGAAGAAACCTCCCATCTGCAAGTCGGGACCCCAGGTCAGCACTTAGTCAGCCCTCACACRCTGGAAGCCAGGGAAGGCCAGAGTTCACCAGAGAGATTTTTCTCCATCCATGGTGATCCACTAAGAGTAAGGGGACGGATTCCTCTTGGGTGGGGGGTCTGAGAACAAGATCCTCATCTCTGCTACATCAGAATGGATCCGTCTCCCCCCGGCATGTGGATTAACATTTTTAAAAATGCCGCACATGAAGGCAGAGCTTGAAGTTGTGCCCTGAGTYGCACTGCCACTGCTTGTGTTGTTTGCTTTCCGACTCTGATTCTTATGAGCATATAGAAGGGAACTTGGATCCTTTTTCTTGAAAGAGCAACTCCATGGGGACCAGTCCTGTTGAACAGGCTTAAAAGTGAGGCTGCCGGCTGAGAATCGGCCACAGGAGGCGGCCGCAGCAGTTTTCAGAGGCGGCCCTGCCAGTGGCGTCTGGAAGTCCATTTCCACGGCTTTCCTGACCCTCTCATCCCTCTCTGTCGAGCCCCACTGACCCAGCCCTGGAGAGGACTTGTGCCCTCCTAGGTGATTAGTTAGCCTCTGACTCTGCAGGTCCTCAAATGCTGGTGACAGGTTAGCTCCACGGTGGACATAGCTCTGAGAAACAGGGAGGGGCAATGGAATCTGCTTTCAGTACTCCTAGCTCAAAGSCCCATCTGAGGCCTTGGGCATGGAGGCTGCTGATCCCATCCTGCACTGAGCATCTCTTCTGCACAGTTGACSGGCTCTGCCTTGTGAGCCAAAGAGCTAAGACACCGGGCTGGCTGTAGCTCAGTGGAAGAGCACTTGCCTAGTATTTAGGAGGTCCTGGGCTCAATGCCCAGCCCACAGAAAGAAAAGACCTCAGGCATGAATTGACCCCACCTGAGCAAATGCCGTTAGCAAGCCTGTGGGGGTCGCAGCTCGGTTCCAGGAATCCAGGACGCTGCTCGGTCCATCCAGAAGCAGTACGCACGGCAACCATTAGTCTGACGAAAGGCTGGAGCTCATGGATTCCTTTCCATTTGTTCTAAAACTTGCCAGTGAAATCCTCAACCACGCCTTTCTTCTTTATAGATGATACCTAAACCTGCCCATCCTCTACCAGATCAGGTTGTACAGAGAGCAAGCTTAGGAAAGAAGAGCCCCAGACGCGGGTCCAGTCCAAATAGCTCTCTGTCTCCCCTTGAGATTGAAGGTGTCCAGAGGGTTTGGGGCAAGTGGCTTGGCATCCAGCCAGAGTTAAAGCATCAGCTGGACCAAGCTCTCTCTCCCCTCCCCCCACATTCCTAGGGTGCTAAAACATCTTGAGGATCAGAAACTAAACGAAGCTGCCTCTTGGACGGAGATCCCTGAGGGCCAGTGGAGCCACTGTGATTTAAAGCAGCGACAGACGCTTCCCCTGTGCTCTTGGGCCACCCTGAGTGCCCGAGACAGAGCCCTGCAAGGCCCCTCCTGCCTGGTGCTGGGAACTCATCCAGCAGTGCCAGCGAGCAGCGTGGAGGACACGCAGCGCATCTCCCTGGCAGGACTTGACCCCTTCCGTCCTCCCCAGCGTCCTCTTGAGTCTTTGGCGTCCTTGTCCCCTCTCTGTGCCTGTCACCCTGGCGTCATCGTCGGGTCATGTTTCTGCACATGTCCTGCCACACAGTCTCAGGCCCCACGTCCCAGGGCCTGGCTAAGCTCAGGGAAGCGAGGCTGCGTCCCGTCGCGCCCACATCACTCATTCAGCCCCTGGTACCCAAGAAGCCACACGCTGTGCCTGTGACCTCAGCTGTAGGCCTTCTCCATAGAGTGTGGGCTCCCTGATCAGAGTGGCTTTGTGTGCCGGGACTTGCCTCCAGGACGACCTGGAGAGCAGGTGCTTTAGATAGACAGCTCTGGTCTCAGGACTTTGAAGATATGGTCGCTTGAAATTAGAGATTGGAATCAGCACTGACTTGGTGTCCCTTAAATTTTATCTGCTGGGTTTTGATTTGTTGAGTTTTTTGGAGACTGGGTCTCACTGTGTTGCCCCGGGCTGGTCTTGAACTAGTGAGCTCACGTGATCCTCCCGCCTCAGCCTCCCGAGCAGCTGGAACCATAAGCATGTGACCCTGCACGGGGCTGGCTGGCTRTGTGTGATCTGGGGATGCGCACGAGGTAGAGGGGAATATAGCCTTTCTGTTTCCCAAAAATTTCTGGTTGACATTTCTAAAAATGTTTATTATAAAAATTCCAAACAGAAGTGGATGTGCCCATCCCCACAGCCACACTGGTCCTCAACGGTCAGCTCATGGCCAGTCTTGTTTTATCTGTTCCTCTACCTGTGTGTTTCTCTCTGGATCATTTTGGAACAAACCCCAGATATTGTGCCATTTTTACCTGTGGTTGTACTTCTTTTTGGAATATGGAGATTTTAAATGCCAATAAAAAATAAAAGCTTGACAAAGGAGAGCTGAAGTGTGGCCTCTGGCAGGTGCCGGCTCCCCCCTGCAGGTGTGCTCATGTCCTCGGTGCCTTCTGCCTTGCAGTGCAAGCCCTCGGTGAGCCGCAGCCGGTCCTCCAGCCTCAGCCTCACGGTGGAAAGCGCTTTAGAGAGCTTTGACTTCCTCAACACCTCTGATTTTGATGAGGAGGAGGACGGGGAGGAGGCGCGCCGTGGCGGCGGTGCTGACTCGGTGTTCTCGGACACCGAGCCCGAGAGGAGCAGGTGAGTGGGACCGGGCGCTGTGTGCACCCTCGGGGGCCGGTGCACAGCTCCCATTCGGCCCTGCTCGAGGCACTTGGCTCCTTTTGCCAGTCAAGCACAGCTTCACCTCCTCGGGGTTGCTTAAGGGAGAACAGATCTCTTTCCCTCCCAGAAGTGAGGGGATGGCTGGATGAGTCCCGTGTGCGCCCTGCGTATGCATGTGGTCTGCAGCCTGCCGTGCAGTTCTCGCCAGCCAGCTGGGTACACTGCTTGAGAACTGCCGACCGGTCCCACCAGGAGCCCTCTTCCTTCCCAGCCCTTGGCTTTGCTGGGCTTTGCTCTGCCTGCCCCTTCAGCCCAGCGAGTCTTCAGATGGCTAAGCTCCTCCAGGTCCTGTCACAACCAATAACTGCCATTATCCACAGCCGGGTGGAAAACGTGACCTCTGGGTGGGGGAGCATGGTCCTGGAGCAGCTGAGCCAAGTTCTCAGAGCCAGGTCCTGGGGGCATCTTGTGATTTCAGACCAAGGCAGACAAGCCCCATGGGCATACCTGCCCCTCAGTCACCGAGGAAGACACACAAACACTCCCCCCAGGAAGGGGTGCATTGTGCCTTTAGGACAATGTGACATAAATACATCTTCAAAGCTCTCTGTTCAGCCTTTACAGCTCTCTCTGTGGGAGGTGTTATTGTTTTGGGGTTTTGTTGTTCCTAGAAGGTTTCTTTTTCTAAGATAAAAACAACAAAGAAAAATACAACGTGAGAACTAGAATTTATTCCTTGAGCAAACTGGGAATAAAATGAGAGCAAATTTAATGAGTGAATGTAATATTTAAGTTCTGCTTCTGCATATTGTCTAGCTTGACTGAATTGGCGTAATACTTCCTCACTAAACTTTTCTGTAACTCGTTAGCTATGTGACACATCACAGCCAGGCATCCATCTAAACTATTTTTCTTCTTGCTAAAGGAAGCATTTAATAACAAAAACATTATTGCTTTTGTACAGTTTACAGAACATTAAGGTTAAAAGTATCTAACTCAATCAGTCTTACTGTATATTATCAGAATTATTACAAAAGAACTCTGTGTGTGTGCGTGTGTGTGTGTGTGTCTCTGTGTGTGAACCATGTGTCAACCACCTGGACACAGCTGAGCATCTTCCCCTGGAGGCAAATGTGAATCAGAGCAGAGCCCTCCAAGCTGCTGAGTTGGGTGAGGGTCTCTGCATGGTGGGCACTGAGAAAAGAGCAGGAGGTGAGAAGCAGAAGCTGCCTGTTGGTGACCAGGACACTCTCTAGGCTCCCTGTTCCATCCTCCCAAGCACAGATTCACTTTAAGAGTAAAATGGGACAACATCAATGCCATCATGATAAGACCTCAGACAGGGGGACGTGGGGCTTGCACAGAGCCGGAGGCAGGACTCGGCTGTGCTCCGAGCACTTGGACACCCTCTAGCTTCTGTCCCCAGTAGAGCGTCTCCTCTTTCCTCCTGGCCACCCTCTTTTTGCCTTGTCTTCAAGAAGCCATTGATCTGGGGCCAGGAAAAGGCCGTGACAGATTATTCCTTAATGCCATTACTCTTGGGAAACCACTGATACACAGGACAACTTAATGCCAGAAAATCTGGCAAGCTGCCCTGTCAACAGAGCAGGAAAGTGGGACACACACACAGTGAGGGCCCGACTCAAAGCCCTCGGGAGACACCTCGCACACGGCTGGCTGCTGGAGACGCGACGGAGACCCTAGGGCAGTGCATTTGCCAGGTCCTCTAATGCTGGGCCGCCCAGCAGCAGGCTGAGTGGTTGCTTCTGAAAGGCCCTCTGCTTTTCAAAGGAGGCGAGGGAAGGCGGAGTCAGTGGGCGCCTGGGGCCTGGTGCCAGCCTGCCCACACAGCTCGTGGTCTGTACATAAACGGAAACAGCTCACGTCTCACCCACCCCCTGCTTCACCAGTTACAGGTCGGTTCACCCAGAAGCCAGGGGGCATCTTAGTGAGGCACTGACCGAAGACACAGGCGTGGGGACCAGCGTGGCAGGCAGCCCCCTCCCGCTGACCACCGGGAACGAGAGCCTGGACATCGCCATCGTGCGGCACCTGCAGTACTGCACCCAGCTCGTTCAGGTGGGAAGCCAGGCTGCTGAGGTGGCAGGAAAGCAGGCCTCCGGCTTTGGTTTTGCAGGGAAATGAGAATCTGGGAATAAGAGGACAAATCTGCTCTGATATAAACCACCTCAAAAACTCTGATGGTGTGCCCTGCCTTCCTCACCCCGGGTTTCCTATCTCAGAACCCAGATCCCCAGGCCTTAAAAGGTAGCAGATAGAATATGGTAGGTTCCCTCTTCTAAATCCCTTGGCAGTAGATGAGGGGACCGTGATTAAGGGAAAAGGTATTTGCATCCAGAGGGAGTGGGAAAGCCAGCATGAGTGAACATGTATTGACATCAGTGTCACAGGCACGTCCCGCAAGAGCTGAGAGCAAAGGCGGAAGACTGCACCTGCCCTACCCCAGGTCTGGAGCTGGCAACTCCTGCGAGCAGTGGGCAGCCACGTTCCTCTGGTCCTCTCATCACCACTGAGCCCTCACTCTGGCGCAGCCTAGAGCTGATTTTTCTTCTCATTTCAAACTCTGCCCCTGAAGGTTTGCAGCAGAGCAGCCGAGGTTCTGAAATGCTTTCCAGGAGACTTTCAGCYGCCCCAACAAACCTTTGCCCCAAGGCCTCTACTTAAACGCTTCCTCCTGGCCTGGTGGCTTCTCTTTCCCCTCTTGTTCTTCTCTCGGCTTGCTGGATGTATGTGGAACAGGGTAGGACAGGGGCGGGGGGCTMGGCCACCCAGGAGGGTGCTGGCAGGAGAGGAGCTGAGGTCTTGGGAGCAGGAGCTGGCCTGGCAGCAGAACAGGGGCAGAGTTGGGGAGCCCCAGGCCTGGGGCAGCATGGCSTCCTTAGTGCACAGCTGGGATGAGAGGGAGACGATGGTGTTTTCCACACCTAGGAAGAACTTTCCACGGCCACAGGCAGCTGGCGTGCTCTGGGAAGCTGGCTGGCAATGACAGCTCRGCCAGCCTCCTATTTGATCTCTGCTGTTAGGTGTCAAGGTTACAAACCACGATACCAAAAACCATCCTGGCACAAAGTGTAATATTCTTCTCTGATCAAAAGGGACAAGCGTTTTTATTTACTTAYGGCTATTCATTATTTACCAACCCTTTGAATGGGAGGGTTTTCATATCTCTTTGTCCTTGCTGATACCATGCAGAGCAAACCCCCTACTTACCTCTTAGAGGTAAAATAGTTACTTTCAGAGACATAAGAATTCTCTTCCATGACAGGAGAGGTTTTCTCCCAAAGACTGATCAACCCAAGTCTTCTTCGGGAAAGAGCCATGCTAGAAAAACAAAGAGGGGGCATAAATAGGCAGACTGAAGGAGGGGCGAGTGCAAACCTGACTCAYTTGCACTCGCTCCTGAGTTGGTGGGTTCACTTGTTTGGTATATGATCGTGGAGAGAGAAAAATGGGCCTTCCCAAAGAAACCTACTCACTATGAATGTTTTTTTTAAATAAATATGCTTCTGTTTTACTCACTTAACAAGAAAGACRTTAGCACATGCTTGCTAGACTTTGGTTTGAAGTGCTATTTGTTTAGAGTGGGACTGMTCTAGAGGGCACAGCCTGGGAGCATGTCCCTGTGTCCTGCCTTCCTCTGTGCCTAGCAGGTGGCCAAGCAGGTCCTGAGAGGCACAGAAGGGCAAGGGATGTCAACACCAAGTGACTTATGTCTCCCTTCTTATGCCTCCTTGTTCTGGTGAGGGCACATGAATAAAAACACCACTTGTAGGACACTGGGCAGATCACTGAAGTAAAATGGGGACATCAATAGGACTGCCACATGGGGTGGTGGTGAGAAATAACGWGAACTAATGCACACACGGGGCGGAGGCTGGTGCCAGGCCCACAGGAAGCACTCACTAAGCGTGGTGAGAGAGCTCAGATTGCAATCACAGTTATTAGACAATCTTGAAAACAAAAAAACAAAACCACACTATGAAAATCGACTGCATTTTGCCAAACAGATCTTTTTCTGCTCACACACCGAGACACCACCTAAGTGAGCTGAGTTTCTAAGAGGAGGAGGTTTATGATACAGAGAAGGGAACGCAGCTGCACAGTAGCTGGCAGCTCTACTGCTGATAAAGTGAGCCAGGCATCTGGGGCACACCTGTCGTCCCAGAGACTTGGGTCTCAAGTTCAAACCCAGCCCCAGCAACTAAGCAAGACCCTGTCTCAAAATAAAAATTAAAAAAAAGTTTAAAGTAGCACACCCAGGTGTGACTTGGACAGCCGTTGTGCCTGGCAGGGAGAGGAGACATCACCAGGATGGACCAACAGCCCTTCGTGAGTGGAAGGAGGCGCTGGGAGCAGGAGCTGAAACAGCCGTTTTGTTTGTTTTATCAGCAAGTTGTCTTCTCCAGCAAAACCCCCTTTGTGGCAAGAAACCTCTTAGAGAAGCTTTCGAGACAGACCCAAGTGATGGAGAGACTCGCGGCTGCCAGTGACGAGGAGGCGGGGAGCCTGAGCTCTGTCGTGCAAGGTGAGCCTCCGTCCCCAGGGGCACAGCACTGTGTCCTGCCTCTCCCCACTGCTGGCAGGGGCGCGAACACCCCCGCCCACCCACTGCCCACTGCTCCCGGCTGTGTCAGGAAGACGGGGAAGCGGTCTAGGCCTCACAACAGGGAGGCGTCTGGGCTGCGGGCTCCGGTCAGCCCCCACACACTGGCGTCTTCTGCAGGGCCTCCCTCGGGAGTGGGCCCGAGTGTGAACAGAAGCAGCATCACCCCAGGCAGGTCCAGGAGCGCCCCTTCAGACAGATGACCAGGACTCTGGCCATGCAGCCGGCCCAGTCCCCCATAGCGCTGTCCAGGGGCAGAGGTAGACGGAGGTGGGCTGAGGCCTGCAGGACAGGCCCTGGCTCTGAGTCTCGGCAGCTGAACTGAGGTGCCGAGGCGCCTCGCGCTCCTGTGGTCTGGCCCTGGGAAGAGTTTCTACTTTCACATCAGAAGGAGGCAACAGAGTCTTCTGGAACCTCCCTCAGGCCTGAGCCTCTGCGGGGTTCTCCCTGTTGTGTCTGCCTCAAGGGTAGCTCCTGGGAGCAGGGCACTTGACGGGCCCTGAGAGGCATGAGCAGGGACAGACATTCAGGCTGCAAGCAACTGTCCCCTCCTCTCCATCCCACTGTCTCAGCCACACAGCAGTACAGCAGTGACACACTCAGCTGCACACTGCTGTCCACTCTCCTGTCTGAGGCCACCAGGCAGGGTGAACTCCCCTGGCCACCATGGCTGCATCCCATGCCTTTCAGGAAACCTGGGGAGTGAGGGTCCTGATCCTGTAAGCTAGGGGCCATGAGATGCCTGGGTGACCCCAGGGGAGAGCCGCTGTGCCCTCTGTCACTAAGGCAAACAGCCCTGTTTTTCTGTTGTCCTCGCTCCCGGGCAGGAAGCTTCCTCCTCCTGTCCTTGTCCACCTGCCAGCTGCAGAGGACTCCTGTCCCAACTGCAAACCCCTCAACAAAACAGAGCCCTGACAGCGCCTGCCCGCCCCACCCAGGGGCCCAACTTTGTTGTCTTCATTTAACGTGTGCCCTGGGATGGGGCGCTCTTCTCTCCAGCCATCCCAGAGTTTCACAAAAAGCTGTCTCTGCTGTCCTTCTGGACCAAGTGCTGCGGCCCGGCCGGGGTGTACCACAGCTCTGCCGACAGGGTGATCAAGCAGCTGGAGGCCAGCTTTGCCAGGACTGTCAACAAGGAGTACCCAGGACTCGCAGACCCAGGTAGGACAGCGGGAGGTGGTAGGGCAGCGGAGGTGGTAGGGAGAGGGTAGCGAGATTAAAATGTCTGAATATGTCCACTACAACTTTTTTCTGGATATTTTTGATTCACGTCTGAAGATGTAGAACCCACGGACACTTTTTTCATTACGGTGTCACATGGTACAACCACTTTGGGGAAACACTAGCGGTTTCTACTAAGACTTGATGTGCTCCTCTGCCACCATCTAGAAGCTCTACTCTGGAACATTCCAAGAGAAACGAGGGCTTCTGTTCAGGAGGAAGGCCCTGGGGGGGGAAGTTCATGGCAGCTCTACTCACAGGAGCTGAGAGTTGGTGCCCAGGACAGGAGATTGGATAAATCATAATATAACCATGTCACAGGGCATTACCTAGTGCTTTTTAAAGAATATATTGCTGCTACAAGCAACGACTTGAGTGCATCTCACCGATGCTTTGTTGAGTGGAAGAAACCAGTTACGACAGTACGTGCCMCATAACTCCAGTTACAGGAAGTTCAAGCTCTGGTGTAGACAGAGGCAGGTGACTAGTCCCCGTGGTGGGAGGGGTGGGCCGCTGTGGACTGGGAAGAGGCACTGAGTGCTGAGCGCCGCCCAGGTCTCCCGTGCCTGGCGGTCACGGAGGTGTGTGAGAAYGCAGGTCGCCTGGCCGTGTGCCGAGACGGTGCGCGGTGTATCAGGGATGCTTCACTTCGCTCTTTGACACGTTACCATCAGAGAATGAATGAAAGACAGCAAACTGCCCCCACGGCTCTGTGCCTCTCCCTTTCAAATAGTGTTTCGAACCCTGGTCTCGCAAATCCTGGACCGGACGGGGCCTCTGCTGCCCGGCAGCCTCTCCTCGGAAGTGGTCACGGTTTTCCAGTACTGCAGTTACTTCTCCAGCCACGGCGTGAGCGACCTGGAGAGCCACCTGTGCCAGCTGGCCAGGCAAGGTGAGGCGGCTCTCGTGGGCCACTGCAGTGGCGCCTCCTGTGGGCATCTCCGTGGCTAATGGAGGCTCCTGCTGGGCACCACCTTAGGGATCAGTCKGCCCACATGGGACTCAGAACCCTTTTTTATGGTATTATCCCCATATTCCAATCAACACAGTGAGTTTCTCCACCGTCCTGCTTCCTCAGCGCGGGCTGGGGTTCACCTAGGACAGGGTTTGCCAGGTGATCTGAGTGAAAGACAGGGCAGTTGGGTTTGCTGTCCTATTCCAGAAAGACTGCACACAACATTTCCTTGCGTTTCCTTCAGTGTCGATTTTTACATTTGACTATTTAATTCATCGACACATTATTTTTGCTTCCATCATAAGGAAGAGCTTTTCTCCCCTATGACTGGCCCCTCTCTTCACTGCGGTTACTTGATCCATCGGTGCTTTGCTCAGTAATTGGAAAAAGCCTCCTTTGCAGAGTGACCACATGTGTTCAGTCTGTTGAGTTCTACTTGCACTAAAGACGCACAGGAGACCTGTGTATTTCTAGCTAACAGTTGACTGCACTGTCACAGCCGACCTTCTTTCCTGCCTCCCAGTCTCCATGGTGCACACCCTGCAGTCCCTGAGAGATGAGAAGCTGCTCCAGGCCGTGGGCAACCTGGCTCCCAGCAGCCTCCTGGCTCAGCAAGAGGTGCTCCGGACTCTGGCTCTGCTCTTAACCAGAGACGACAGTGACGTCAGCAAGGCTGTGACACTCTACTTGGCAGCAGCCTCCAAGAACGAGCATTTCAGGGAAAAGGTAGGAGGCCAGATCAYGGCCACTGACTTAGAGTGCTTCTTACCATTTGAATTAACATTAAGTGCTACAWGTTAATAAACCATTTAGGAAGAAATTAGCTTAGTAAATTTAAGAAAATTTATTTTTGCATGAAGATTTTTTGGGTGGTGGGGAGTGCTGGGGCTGGAACCCAGGGCCTCACACGTGCCAGGCAAACTCTACCATGAGCCACATCCCCAGCCCTTTAAAGAATCTAAGGCGCAACCCCCGATGCCCCGTATCCAACTGAGGGGCCACCTGTCTCTGGAGTTTACCGCCTTCTCTGGTCCTCCCACCATGCCCGAACACCCTTTTCTCCCTAGCTTCCCATCAGAAATCTAGCCAACCCTTCTGGTCCAGGTCAGACATCATCTTTGTGAAACCTACCCTAGCGCCTAGAGGACGTCCCTTCCCCCCTCCCCGTCTGGCTGGCTTGGCCTCTTCTGCTCCCTGCTGGAACCTGACTCTTCTCTTCCCCACAGTTCCTTCAAACCCTTGGGGTTTCTAGATCTGAGGCCCCTTAAATGCCAGAATCAGAGAGGTTAGAAAACAGGAAAGAATTAGTCCTGGTGTTCTGTGGCACAGTGGGTGACTAGGGTCTATGACAATCGATGATCTATTGCAAAATAACTAGAAAGGAAGAGTCCTCAACTTCCCAGGACACAGAAATGACAAATGTTCAAGGAGATGAYTGGACCATTACATATTGAGTTAATGGACTCTATGCCATAAATCCATAAATCCATTCAAATAGGTGTCAATTAAAAACTTAAATATAATAATATATTTTTTAAAAATAGAGTCACTGTGGAGTTTGCTAATGAACCAGCTCATTTTTTTTGAAAACTGGTGAATAAAGAAAAAGAATCGCTCCCTTTAAAAAAAAAAAAAAAAAAACCCTAACTTTGTATCATTCAACTTCATGTTCCTAAGTCCATGACCTGGTAGAATAGAGAGGATCAATTTATTGACTAAAGAGATCTTTTAATCAACACGAATTTCAGTGGATATTTTGTCCCCTAAGGAAGCAGCACAGAACACCTGGGTGGGTGCCGTGGTTCCTCTCGGGGAGTGGAGTGTCACACACCTCCTAAGGGACGCAGTTGGGATGCCTCACAGTGTCCCTCTTCTCCCCCAGGCCTTGCTCTATTACTGTGAAGCACTGACCAAGACCAACCTGCAGCTGCAGAAGGCAGCCTGCCTGGCCCTGCGGAGCCTGGAGGTAAGACCAGCAGCCCTCCGCACCCCAGCACCCCCAGCTGGGGCTCTCACCTCCTTGCAGCTGCTTGGTAGTTGTGGGTTGTAATTTCCCCCTCGTATGTGACTTTGTTAAAGGGAACAAGTAGCAAAAAATAATCATGWTCTGCTGTGACCTGTAAGAATCAGTTTGCCTTTGGATCAGAGAGATGATATGGTGATTTCACCGATATTTAATGTGCAGTACAAATAGCAAGGAATAATGAAATATGCAAAGAAGTCTCAAAAGTCAATGTGCCACTGAATTCCCACCCAGATCCTTTCCCAAGGAACTATTTTTATTAAGCAGTTCATCAACCTTAATCGTGTCAGGGGAAGGAAGTTAGTGGAGAGGGAGAGAGCTGAACTGTTAATGAACAATGAAAGCCAGAATCCCCAGCAGGAGAGAGTCGACCTTTCAGTGGGCGGGATTCAGTGTGTGACCCACCTTTATCACAAAAACAAGACTAATGGGGCTGGAGAAAAGAACGAGAAGGCCACACCTTAGGCTCTGCTAAAATCTTGGATGGGCACAGGGGCAGGGGGCAGGGACCGGCAGGCCTGATGGGACGTGAAGAAAGGGATTAACTCCTCAAAAGAAAAGTTAATGACCTGTGAAGAAAAACAACTGTGGGAAAGTTTGCCTTCCTTGTTACTTGGTCAAAAAATGACTTTCAGGTGGCCAAAACAAAGCCCACTGGGACTGCTATTTGTTTGGGCAGCCTCCTGCCACACTGCGACACACACAGCTGGATGTCTGTGATTCAGACTTCACATGGGTAAAGACCAGGACCCCGAGGTCCAGCCAGGGTCATGGACGTACACGTTTCCAAGGTCACAGCAGAGGCCACTGTTCTAGCTCCTGCAGAACCCATGCCCGGGAGCACCAGATTTCTCCTTTTCCCTTTTCTCCTAGAAGATAGGGTCTTTTCTGCCAGATGAAATGCCTTTCTGCAGCCCCCCAGCTCCTGAGGGGGCTCCGTGCAGCACGCTGTGCAAGACGGTGCAGACCTGTCACTCACACAGACCTGGGATCCCTGGCCAGCTTGCAGGGTCTTGTTAATGGAAAATTAATGGAAACAAACAGAAATTTCTCATTTTTCTGTTCTTTAATCAGCCTAGAAACAACCTAGGGGGATCACGGTCCTCAAAAAAGTGGCCCCCATTCAGGTCTCCCATCTGTCACCACGGGCTACAGGAACCCAGGGGCCCCCGGCTGCTCCCCCTGGCTGGCCCCAGCCTGGCGCCCTGCACCAGCTCCACTACTTCATGAGCCCATCCTCCTCCAGGAAAGGCAAACATGACTTGCAGCCCATGCCCAGTCCTCCAGCGACTCAGCCGGCGTGTTGTCTTCCAGGAGGTCACCCCAGGGTTTCCATGGCCATCTCTGCACTGATGACCCCCAGTACTTCCCTCCAGGTCCCTCCTGACTCTTACCCAGCTGGCTGTTAGATAGCTCTAGCAGGAAGTCACTCAGACTGCATCCACCCACCACGGCTGGTCTCAGTGCCTTGGTGGGCCCTCTACCAGGCCCCTGGGAGCCGTGCCCAAAGCCCAGGAGTCAACAGTGACCCTGCCCCGCCTCCTCTCCCATCCATTCATCTGCCGTCCTGTGGACCCCAGCTCTGACCTGTGCACTCTGCTCTATCCCTGCTGCAGTCACCCGTCTGCACTAGTCACCTACATGGGAGCCACCCTGCCTGCTGCGGCCTGAGCTTGTGTCAAGGCACCCTTGCGATGACATTAGAAACATTGCAACAAGACACAGCTCTGCTCAGAGCTTCTCAGGGGCTTCTGCAATCTTAGATCTCAGACTTAGACCCAGATTAAGCCATGAATTTACGATTCAACCGGAAGCCCTTGACATGGCTCAGAGATTCTCCTTGAAGAGATACAGGCCTTCTCCCGACACCTCCATGGCCTCCTCTGGACTTGGGCCTGCCACAGTCTATTAGCCTTGCCTGGAGTCAGTTCCTTCTCCACCCCCCAGGCCCTCCCCAGCCCCAGGCACACAGACCCACCCACCCCCACACCTGGCTACCAGGTCTCAGAGGCCACCTCCCCAGGAGGCTGGCCTTCCTCAGCCTGAGGTGCTCTGCCCCAGCACCCTCACTCAGCTGTCACTCACCACAAGTACTCGTGTGACAGTCTGTCTGTCCACTCAGCTGCGGACTCTTTGGACCAGTACCATGTCTAGTTCATTGTAGCATCTCCCATGCTTTGTGACCTGTCTTTGTGACATGTGAGGCACTGGGTTCGATTCTCAGAACTGAATATAAATTAATAAAATAAARGCCCATTGACAACTAAAAAATATTTTTAAAATAGTTATAAGCAATTTTTACCATAAAACACTCTGACAATAAAAAATCAAGCGTACTCAGTAACTGCTTACAGAATAAGTAGAAGCTGGGTACGGTGGCACACGACTATAATCCCAGTGGCTTGGGACGCTGAGACAGGAGGATCGTGAGTTCAAAGCCAGCCTCAGCACCTGCAAGATGCTAAGCAACTCAGTGAGACCCTGTCTCTAAATAAATACAAAATAGGGCTGGGGATGTGGGCAAGTGGTCAAGTACCCCTGAGTTCAATCCCTGGTACCAAAAAAAAAATAGAAGACATCCCATCACGGACTTTCATTCTCCTTCTTTATTTCAGTGCATAAACTGAATAAGAATTAAGTTTTTAAGTTTTATTTTTAATTGACAAAAAATAATTGTGCATGTTTATTGGGCACAATGGCTGTTTCAATAATATATGCACAGGAATTCTTAGTGTCATTTGGAGTCAATGGAATACGGCAGAAAGAACTAGGAAAAATGGGTTCTACTCTGGAAAAGCAGGAGACTCGGGTTCCACTCTAGACCTGGAGTGCTCTGGGCAATAAGAAGTTTAGCTGGTCACCAGATTTTCCACAAGTACACGTCCTAGGCTCCCTCCCAGGGAATTCCAGTGTAGTGGGTCTGGAGTAGAACCCAGGAATTGTACTCATGTGACAGTCTGTCCCTGAGGGTCCCTGAGGAGTCTGGCCCTGTCACTTGAGCTGCGCACACAGCAGCTGAGAGAGCTCACTAAATGATCCTGGCAATCCACTAAGATTGGGGACCCCAAAGTAAGGTTTTTAAGTTTCCCACCGTGATAAAATGATGTGTCGTGGAGCCCCCGGTTAAATGCCAGAACACTAAACTATTTCCCCCATAGGCAACTGAAAGCATTAAAATGCTAGTGACCTTGTGTCAGTCTGACACGGAAGAAATCAGAAATGTGGCCTCAGAAACCCTCTTGTCTCTTGGTGAGTTGTTGTCTTTGTTTTGTTTTACATAATTGCTTGCTTCTGATTTTCTCAAAGGAAGCTAAAAAGAAGAGTTTCATTCGCCCTATTTTAGCAATTTCCCCCACCTGCTGTCTACTGAGACCCATGGAGTATGGGAAAATCAGTATCCACCCCACACCTAGGCAGCCCCTCGCTTTCTCGGGATGTAGAGTGAAGATCATTCTCAGGAGCCAGGCTGTCTGGGTCTGTCAGTCCACATCCTACTGGGGATGAAGAACACAAATGCCAAACCATAAAGCAGAGGCTATAGAAATCCAGGTTGGGTTGCAGTGCAGGGTCAGGGTGGGCAACCACCAAAAGGCAATGATTGACCAAGATACCAGAGGTGCCAAATGCCAAGTGCCAATGTCTCGGCTTGGCACAGAATCACGAGCCACCACACAGCTTTGTAGGTTCAAACAGCAATTCTTTATTCCCAATCTCACACCAGCCTCCACACAGGTTCAGGGGCAATCTAAATCTGCCCGCACAATCCACCTACTCCACCAGGCTTTTTCCAAATCCCATTTTAATCTCACCAGAACTCAACGGGAACAAGCAGCAGGAACACCCTAATCCCAGCAGCCATAATCTTCAACCTCCAACTTCCCTAAAACCAGTATTGTCTCAGACCGGGAACGCCTTAAACCGGGAACACCCTAAACCCAAGGACCGGGATACTTCCTCAAACCTGCAGGATACTTCCTCAAACCTGGATCCACCCTCGATCACCTTGAGCAGGGTCATCTTACTAAAGCATACATGCAATGTCCCATCGAATGTCCTAAGCAGCATGGGGTATGCTGGCAAGGAGATTTTGATGCGTCATACCCACTTGGCAATGGCCCTCAGCACAGAGGTGCCTCCTACATACCGCGGCCTGGTGCTGGCCCCCAGGTCCACCTCAGTTGCCCTCTGGCCCTGACACCAAAGAAAAGAGCTGATGTCTTTATTCTGGGACACCCAGAGAGCCCTGTTCCCTTTACTCCACGAGGTTCCTGTTGAACATGTTTCATAATTTTATTCTTTTGGGTGGTCCTGAGAGGGGGAGAAAGCCTTTCTTAATGCTGCATAAAAATGTATGAATCAGGGACTGGGGTGATGGCTCAGTGGTAGAAAGTTCATGTGAGGCACTGAGTTCAATTCTCAGTACTGAATATAAATTAATAAAGGCCCATTAACAACTAAAAAATATTTTAAAAATAGTTATAAACAATTTTACCATAAAAACACTCTAAAAATCTAAAAGCTATACTCTGAAATTCTCCAAACAAAATCCAGTCCMTAAAACCAACTGGGAAAAAAAGAAAAAAGTCGCCCTAGTTTGACTCTAGTATGTTAATCATGGGAAGGAGAATCTCGTGTCATTCATAACCACCATGAAAACCCATTCACTGTTAGACCTCTTTCTTACAGTTACAGGGTTAAAAAAAAAAAAAAAACTCCATTTCGCTATTGGATATATCATTTATTGCTCAGAAAGCTTAGCCAGCATGTTTGTTTAAAGAATAAAATAGTTGCTGGGTGCGGCGGTGCACACCTGTAATCCTAGCGGCTCAGGAGGCTGAGGCAGGAGGATGGCAAGTTCAAAGCCAGCCTCAGCAAAAATGAGGCACTAAGCAATCCAGTGAGATCCTGTCTCTAAATAAAATACAAAATAGGGATGTGGATGTGGCTTAGTGGTCAAGTGCTCTGGTACCAAACAAAAAACAAGAATAAAATAGTTATTCCTAATGACTGTTTTAGGTATAGAAAGTATTTAACGCTCTAAAATGTACCCAGGGAGTTATAACCATGAAGGTAAAAAGTAAAAGGTGGAAGTGTAAACTGGCCAGCCATGCTCTCCACCATACCCATATGCTCTCCACTGTGAGCTAAGCAAGGGTCCCTGAAGCCTGTCACCTGAGCTGCACACACAGCAGCATCTCCAAGAATGACCATCACTCCTGGTTCCTTCCACTCTTTACGTGCCGCCCACACCAGCCCTGGGCCCTGGCCACCCCAGGTCAGGTCTCAACACTGGCTGTACACCCCAGGGAAGCCTAATGCACACGTGCCAGGGTCCACCCCAAAGAGTTGCTTCCTTTGGTCCAACGTGCATTTTGCATGAGGGTTTCCAAAAACCTGAGTTTGATCCTCAGGATTGGGGGGAGGGGAGCAAGAAGAACCCCTAACAATCCATCCCTAAACGGTGATATTAATTTTCTTTGAATGATGAGTAAAAAGTCTCAGTGGTGTTCATGTTCACTGTCCCACCCAGGAGAAGACGGGCGGCTGGCCTATGAACAGCTGGACAAATTTCCGCGAGACGGTGTGAAAGTTGGAGGTCGTCATGGAGCTGAGGTGGCCACGGCCTTTTAGCCACGGGTCAGGCTGCCTGGCCACGGTCCCGACTTCTGGCCCTTCCACCCGGTGTCCAAGACTTGAAGACCTCCTACAATGTGAGGGGAGTCTCAGTCTGGTTTCACAGCCCCTCTGCTTTTCCTTTGGCCACAAAAACAGGGCTGTGCAGAACTCTGACCGCGTCGTTGACCGTGACTGGCAATATCAGGAAGAGTCCGTCTTGTCTTAATAAGTGGGGATTTTAAAACAGCCATCTTTGTACCTTTTTGGAATTTCAATAAGCTTGAAATTGTCATGCGATGTTTCTATAAATACCATCTGCTTTGCAGTTTTTCTCTGTGGTGTTCTCAGGGTTGAGTGGTCCTTTAGCTACCTAATTTTACTTTAAATACAAGCACACAAAAAATGATTTCTTCAAACAATGCTTGCCTGAAGAATGTGGCAAAATGACCCATTGTAAGAGTCTAATTTTTATATTTTACTTTTTTAAGCTCTGTGTTTCTTTTGTCCATCCTAAAAATTCCCAAATCGTGTTCTCATCATATTTAAAAGATAACTAAATCACTAAGAACTGCCTTAGTAAGATTATGCCCATATGCTCAAAACCCAAAAAACTCACTAAGCCTTTTTTATTTGTTTTTTGGATTTTTTTTTAGTGGGACTGAACCCAGGGCCATTTGGGGTTCATCCCAGAGCTACATCCCCAGCCATTTAATTTTTTTTCTATTGAGACAGGGTCTCATTGAGTTGCCCAGGCTGGCCTCAAACTTGTGATCCTCCTGCCTCAGCCTCCTAAATTGCGGAGACTACAGGCATACACCACCATGCCCAACAGATTTTTCCTAACAAGAGCCATTTTTTTTTTAAATAATACTCTTACCATATAGGTATTTTGCTGCTAAGACAAATCAAAACCAAAAGTCATGGATTCGAAAAGCTGTGATGCTCTTTCAGGGTGGAAGAATGTGGAATCCTTAATGGGATAGGACCATAGGGACACTAAAAGTCATTCCTGCTTCTGTAAAAATCACATGAAATTAGGAAGAAGGACTCCCTGAAGGATCGCAAGTGCCCCTGGAAAAGTCCTCACCACTAGGTAGGACCCCCGCCAAGCAGCTGCAGTAGCATCAGGCTTCAGGAGGCCCCCCAGGGAGTCGGGACTTTTCAGCCGCCTTTCCTGAATGACTTTCCTCCCTGTGAAGGGGGACAAGGAGGGGCAGCCAAGGTATCAGAACAACGTTGTGAGTGCGACTTAAACCGTGGAGGTCAGCAGTATTCTGGACATGCTGGTACGAAATCTCACTTGGATGTCATTTTAAGTATTCACATGTTAGCAAGACTTTTAAAAAAGAATTTATTTCCTTTTAAAGTGAAACTTGTTTGCCAGGCTTCGGGCAAAATCGTTCTTTTAACTGTGAAGTTCTCATGTACATATTTGTATATTTATAAATATTATGTATGCATATGTCCTTCATTTTAAAGACTCACTGTACAGTCTGTGGTTAGTATGCACAGTCGATAGTCCACCTTAGATGGTTGAAATGGGTCTTTCCATAGGAAGTCAGGTCTCACATGTTACAGGGTTTCTTTGTTTGGGGTTTTTACATTTTTATTTTTTTGGATATTGCATGAGTGATCAATTCCACATCTTTTGTATTCACGTCTGCATTTTATTTTTGGTTGGGGGTGCTTTTAGTTTGGTGGCATTTGTATTCATCACCCAATCATGTAAGTTAAAATAAAAGTTATTTTGTAATTACTAGTCTCCGGTCAGTACAGAGTCTGAGATGATTTCTCACATGCCCTTCCTCAGCTGTATCCACAACACACTGCACCTCAGTCTCAACCCTCTTCTTATCTTGCTTTTCTTCACCTATATAAATAGGGAAAGTAACTTGATAAGAATTCTGAGATGTCCTAAATTGAGTTTGGGCGAATGGAAGGAGGGGAGAGAGGAGAAGGSCCTTTTAAATCAGAACTTCAAGCTCAGTCAAGTGCTCCACATCCCTTTCTGTTGGCTGAAGGTCAACCTCCAAGGCCACGTTGCATTCTGCTCTGGGAACCAACCAACCAGGAAGCAGCAACAACTCCTCTCCATAGACTAACCTCCTATCCATGACTGCCTGCTTCCCGGRGTCCTGCCCTCCTGTCGGAATAGTCACAGTAGAGTCCGTGTGAATGATTTATGTTACTTCTCCCCAAAATGTTGTTATAAATTCCGCTGGTCCCTGAGGTCTGGTGGGCGTTTTGCAATTGCTGTCTGACCTGTTGCAGAGGCTCAGGAATGTGTCCCACTGGTCCAGCCCCTTTGGTTACCATCGATACAGCTCAGCAAACCCTATTTTTACCCTCAAAACTTTGACTTACAAAGTAGCCCCAGATTCGTCGTAAGGCTGGTTGGGGTGTGGGCRCCCTGTGTCAGGGTCACAGTGTCTATGACCACAGACGAGCACCTCGAGGGCAGAGGGARCCTTCATTCATGACTGCTCCATCACAAACCACCCGCAGCAGCATCACAAGGGGCCTGACATTCACCTCGGGAGTGTTCACCAAGTATCATTCACGGCTGTGCTGAGTCAGGTTCATTGCTGCACTGTTGACCTGCATTGCCTCAGTTACTTGACAAAGTCATCAAGTAAGATGGCAAAACCGAACGCAGCAAAAGGTAGCAGCACTTCTTAGTAGATGAGAGAAACAACTTACTCAAGTAGACAAGATCACTTTTTACCCCTGACGTTTTCCTGGAGAGAGTACTGGTTATTAAACAAATCATAGCTTTTGATTTTGAGAAGGTTCTAAGTGCACCTGGGCAGCTTTTTGGTCTGGACCTAGATGTCCTCCAAAGGTTCATGTGCTAACAGCCTGGTCCCAGTCTGTGGCACATCAGGAGGTAGTAGAGCATTTAGCCCGTGGGCCCAGGTCACTGGGGAAGGGGCTGCCCTTGAAGGAGATATTGGGACCMGAGCACCTTACGCTGTCTCTGCTTCCTRGTCACCACGAGGTGACAAGCTTTGCTCTACCACACTTTCCCCATGATGATGCTCTTTCCAAAAGTAAAGGAGCCAACTCACCATGGACGATACCTCTGCAACTATACGTCAAACTAAATCTCTCCTTTTAAATTGTTCACCTCAGGGTATCTTGTTATAGCAATGAAAACTTAGCTAGCACAGGAAATTGGTACCGAGAAGTGGGGTCACGGCTGTGACTATACCTAAATGTGTGGTTCAAGCCTTTGGAACTGGTTTGTGGGATGAATTTGGAAACGTTTGAAGAGGGGAGCTAGAGRAGGCCTGGAATGCTGTGAGCGCATCCGATGGGCTCAGAAGACCACAACACTGAGGAATGCCGACGATAAATGCTGTGTTCTTGACGTTTCAGATGGAATAAGGGCTCTATTGGGAACGGGACTAGCGGCCATTTGTGCTATGTTCTGACAAGAAGACTTATCCACATTGTCCATTCCCTGAGTCTTTGTGGGAGGCTGCGTTTAAAGGTGTGGACTAATTAATCTGGCAGAGGAAATTTCAAGGCAGCACAGCATTCAGGCAGTGGCATGGGCGTTGCTGGATTCTTGTTTTATCTTATCTTTAAATTTGTTTCAATTAGCTATCCATGACAGTCGAATGCATTTATGCACTTTGATATATCATACATACATGGGGTATAATTTCTCATTTTTCTGAGCGTACATATTGCAGAATCATATTGGTCATGCAGTCACGTATATACAGAAGATAATAATGTCTGTTTCATCCTCTATGTTTCCTATCCCCACATCCCCTCCCATCCCCTCTCTTCACTTCCCTCTATCTAATCTAAGGTAATTCTATTCTTCCCTAGTGCCCACCCCTCTCTTATTGTGAATTGGCATCCGCATATCAGAGAAAACATTTGCCCTTTGGTTTGGGAGACTGGCTCATTTCATTTAGCATGATATTGTCCAACTTTGTCCACTTACCAGCCAATGCCATCATTCCATTCTGGACATGTCCAGTATACTGGTCATGTGTGTATGAAATCTCACTTGGATGTCATTTTAAGTATTTACATGTTAGCAAGACTTTTAAAAAGAATTTATTTCCTTTTAAAGTGAAAGTTCTTTGCCAGATTGTGGTGTTCTCAGGGTTGAGTGGTTCTTTAGTGGTCAACTCTGGAAGTGTTCACCAAGTATCATTTACTGCTTTTATTGAGTCAAGCGTTCCCCTARAGGTTTATTGCTACACTGTATTCTGTTGCTACATTCTATCCCTTTGAGAATACTGTGTATATTGCTACATTATATTTCTTTTTTTTTTGAGAATTTTTTTAATATTTATTTTTTAGTTATTGGCGGACACAACATCTTTGTATGTGGTGCTGAGAATCGAACCCGGGCCGCACGCATGCCAGGCGAGCGCGCTACCGCTTGAGCCACATCCCCAGCCCGCTACATTATATTTCATTGACTATATATATATATATATATATATATATATATATATATATATATCACATTTTCTTTATCCATTCATCTATTGAAAGACACCTGGGTTGGTTCCATAGTTTGGCTATTGTGAATTGTGCTGCTATAAACATTGATGTGGCTGCGTCACTGTAGTGTGCTGATTTTAAGTCCTTTGGGTATAGACTGAGGAGTGGGATAGCTGGGTCAAATGGTGCTTCCATTCCAAGTTTTCTGAAGAAYCTCCATACTGTTTTCCATAGTAGTTGCACCAATTTGGTTATTTTAGCCAAATTTACTGTGAGAATTAGGAACAGAAAGCATATCATAGAAATTTGAAAAACTTGCAGWTTGTCAAGAAAAGGAACTTACTTAAAACCACTGCAGGGAGGGCATGGTTTCTAAAAAGATCAGAGGCATTAAAAAGAGGCCAAGTAATCTGCACTGAGAGACCAGGAAAGATGGTTTGAGGTCATCTCAGAAAGTGGCAAGGCCGTTGCATGTTGTAAAAGTAATCTCTTTCAAAGATTTCCCTTGAGAAGACAGCCCCAGGGTGCCCTGCTTGCACAAGGCCACCTAAAAATCATTTTCCTGGGATTCATTTCTCCATGTTCTGCTGTCAAAGTCCTCAGTAGCCACTGTTACAGTGGGCCTCGCTCCTGCTCCAGCCAGTGGTGGACTGTGGCATCATCCACATAACRCTGGTCCTTCACACATGCAGAATGCAAGGGTGGGGTCATGGAGTCTTCCACCAAGATTTAAGAGAAAGGATAGGCAATACAGGGCAGCGTCCAAGGGCTGCGAATAGCCTGTGAGAGGGCAATGCGTGAAGCTGTGAGTGCAGCCAAGCTGCAATGGAATCCCTGGGAAGTTGGAGATGTCAGGAGCCTGGAATGCCTGCCATGGGAAGGTGCAGACAATGAGCAGAGTCAGCCCAACAGAGAGGCCATGTCGGCTGCTGCCAGCAAGGCCACTGGGTGRGCTGCCCAAGCCCAGCAGAGCTAACCTCATGCCGACATGCTCCCCAGATACTGAATGCAGGACTAGAGCATTCAATGTCTGCCCAGTTGGGATTCAGTCTTGTTTGGCTCCAATTCCTCCTGTCTATGCTCCTCTTCCTCCTTTTTGGAATGTGTATCTTGTGCCATTGTATCTTGGAGTAATGTAACTTGCTCTTTCAATTTTTATAGGGTTTCTCAGCAAGCTTTGCCTTGAGTCTCAAAGGAAACTCTGAAGGTGGGCTTTCTGGCAGTGCTGAACTGTTACGACTGTGGAGGCTCTTAGAGATGGACGCGGTTCATCCTGCATTGTGGGATGAATATGAGCTAGTGGGGGTCAGAGGCAGAATGTTAGAGTTTGGATCTTAAATGTCCCCCCAGTGCTTATTACCAGAGTGCTAGGTCAGAAGCCTCACTCCAGAGTTCCCATCAAACCAGGTCCTTCCACTTGCCACAAAAATGAAACAGAAAATGTAGTAGTGAAAAGAACTTTAATCAATATGGTTAGTGTGGCTTAGAGATGGGGTGTCCCCCCAAAGCTCATGTGTGGGACAATGCAAGAATTTTCAGAGGTGAAATGATTATAGTATGAGATAAAACGTAATCAGTGGGTCAATCCACATCAGTTACCACCCAGTTAATCCACATCAGTGGTGACCGTAGGCAGGTGGTGTCTGGCTGGAGGAGAGAGGTCACTGGGGGTGGGTGTGCCTTTGGGATATACATTTTGTCCCTGGTGAGGGGAGCTCTCTCTGCTTCCTGGCCACCATGTCTTGAGCTGCTTTCTTCTGCCACCTCCTTCTGCCATGATGGTCTGCCTCACCTTGGGCCCAGAGCTGTGGAGTCAATGGACTGAACCTCTGAAACTKYGAGCCAAAATAAAGTTTTCCTCCTCTAAGTTGTTCTTGTTGGGTGCCACCCCCGACCAGCAGCTAAACTAAGGGTCGCTTGAGTGGATTYCCTAAGGTATCAAATAAAACACACACACTTTACCTTTAATTCAAGGCCCAGGACGGCTGCTGTGCCCTCGGCCTCAAGCCCCCCAAATGGGAGAGCAAGGAATGTCACGAGAGGCTGTTGAGAGAGAGAGAGAGAGAGAGAGAGAGAGAGAGGTATTTTATTCAGGGGACTCTCATTCTTTAGAAATTTCCAACCAGCAAAGATCAAGAGGGGTGGGGTAGGATGGCACACCCATGCATGAAGACACATTTGGCAACATCTCTACGACTTTCAAGATCGGGGCCACCGGCTATAGCCACTTTGAAGTGGCCAGATCATGGGAAGTGACCGACAGAGCCTCACCAATCAGGAAAGGAAAATGCTGGTCACATGACGTGGTGACAGWCCTGGACAGTTGGGTCTTTGGGTCCAAACAATGCAAAACTGAGGAAAACACTGGCCACATTGGAAAGGCAAAGTGAAACCAAGTGTCCCGGCCCTGTCTTCAGGGTGTTGACGGGAGCTTTAGGTTTAACAGATGGAGAATTGGGGCCGAGGGTGAGAAGCATGCCTCATTACACAGTCTTGGTCAAATTGGCCTTGGCTGATGATCCTCTCAGTGCTGGTTGTGTGACGAGAAGTGGCTCCAGAGTTCTTTATCACTTGAAGGGGACAATATCCACTTGGCAGTCAAGATGTTCATCTATCAGGCCTGTGACCCTGGACGTGGGGATGGCTGGAGACCTCAGGATCCCAGGGGAATAAGATGGGTCTGGTGAGCTCAGGGCTGTAACCTTGCATTATTAGTGTCTAGATGAGTGTGCCTTAAATGACCAACATGGMTACGTGCAGAGCCGAGCAGGGCCCTGGCACGAGGTTTAAGGTCATAAAGGATTCAGGGACAAGATGAAGGCAGAGATGCTGAGCTTGGTCCTGCTTTCAGCTCCCTGTGGGGCATTTGTGGGCCTAAGTAGGCCCTGCTTCAGCAAGGGCAGCCTTTCTGAGTCCCCACTGAGGCTCCTGGGCTGAAGGCCCACCTCCAGCTGGTGCTATTGGGAGGTGGTGGGGCCTTCAGGAGGTGGCCTGGTGGARGGAAGTGGGTCACCGGGGGCCTTCCTCTCTGCTTTGCTCCCCCTGCCATTCGTTGAGCATCCCTGCTCCACCAGGCCCTGGCGAGCTAGCAGGAGGCTCTGCCTGGCCACAGCCCGAGCCAGGGAGCCAGCTGACGGACCGAAAACCCCGGAGACCGCGTCTTCTCCTCAGTAGTCGTTCATCTCAGTTTTTGTCACAGAAATCAAACAGGCAAAGGTGATTAGCTGGGTGTGGTCAGAGCACACCTGCAGTACCAGCGGCTCAGGAGCCTGAGGAAGGAGGATCTCAAGTTCAAGGCCAGCCTCAGCAACTTAGGGGCACTCTGGGATGTAGCTCAGTAGGTGCCACAAATTCGATTCCCACTACCACGAATAAAATAAAGGCAGGGGAAGATGAGGTCAAAGACCCCGACCACACAGGGTTGCCAGCGAGGAACGACTGGAGGAGTAATGGGGGGAGTCGTGCTGATTATTTTAATTGGAGAGAACATTCCCAACAGAAGCATAAGTGCTCAGATGATGTTGGTGTTCTGAGTTTCCTGGTAACCACGTTTTTAAAACATCAGAGAACAGGGGAAGGATATTTTATTTAATCTAATGAGATATTTTTCATCTTTTTTATAATAATTATTGAAATCCAGTGTGCATTTTACACTTGCAGCACTTCTCCACTCAGACTAGTCACGTTCAGATGCTCAATAGTCATGTGTAGCTGTGGCCACCGTCCTGGACGACACAAGTCCACATGCCCCCAGGTGTCCCACGGTATCCTCTATGGTGCGCACACTGCACACTCTCCCGCAGAGTTACAGGGACACCACCCCAGGGGGCACACGTTTGATCAGTGGTCACGCTCCTCGGGTTCTTTCAACCTAGAAGAGAGCAACGTTCTCTAAGCCGTTTTAAAAACTTTCACATATTAATACATTTGAAGTAAACAGGAAGATCCATTTTGTAGATAGAATGTCTCAAATTTGGGATGTTTTGAAGTAGAGCCCAAGAATTTGACGATAAGTTGAAAATGACCGTGAGAYGGATGGGAGCCAAGAATGAGTCCACCAGGTTCGACTGAGCCACAGGAGGGATGGAGTGCCATCCGCCRGGAAGAGGCTCTGAGAAGCCAGGAAAGCTAAGAGAACCGGGAACTCTGTTTCGGACATGACGAGTTTGCAAAGTTTTTAACATCCAAATGGAAATATCAAGTTGGTGACTGAACATGAATCTGAAGCTCAGATGAAAATTTCTATTCAAAACAAAATTGGAGACAGGGTGGGTTGTGTGCTTCTGCAGTCCCAACTACTCAGGAGGCTGAGGCAGGAGGATTGCTTGAGTCCAGGAGTTGAGGCCAGCCTGGGCAGCAATAGCAAGACCCCATCTCAAAAATAAATAAATAAATAAACAAACAGCAATAACAAAAACACAGAGACTCGGGAGTCTTCAGCATACACTGGTATACCTCATGTAAGAAATGTAGGTAGAAAAAGAAGAAGAAGAATCCAAGGACTGAGCCTTAGAACACTCCAATATTTAGAGGTCATAAAAAAAGCCGGGGGACCCAGCAAAGGAAAACAGAAAGTGGCCAGTAAAAGAAAAAAACAAGACAGCGTGTCTCAGAAGCTGGGTGAAAAGGGTTCCCAGGATAACCAGAAGCTGATGCTGAGGACGGAGAATTGGGTTCAGCAGAGTAAAGGTCTTCTTCAGAGCCTTTTTGGGCAACATCAGGGGAGTCCTAGCTAAATCCTGTTTGCAGACCACCCAAGAGACAATGGAAAACTTGAGATGGCATGAGGCGGGCAATTCTTTGAAGAATGTGCTGTAAAGAGGAGCCAAGCAAGCCCTATGCAGTCACTGCAGGAGGCTGTGTACGAGGTCAAGAGCTTTATTTTTGTAATGAGAAAAAAAAAAAAAAAAAAAAGGTCTTTTGATGAATCAAAGGACCAGTTGAGATGGAAAAATCACTCAGAATCTCTGTGGCGAGGCAGAGGTTGGTAGAAATCTGCACAACAGAGAGGGCATCCATCCACAGGACTGGGAGGAGTCAGATGTTTGGCACGGGTGCAGTCGGGCAGGGAGTGTGCCGGGAGTTCCAGGAGTGCTCTTTTAAATAGGATGAGTCTGCAATGCAGAGAAGACCCTGTTAGTGACAAAGAGCAGAGCAGGTGCAATGCTGTGAGTCAACAATGGGAGGGAGCAGACCTGAGGAAGAGCCAGACGACAGCAGGGAGTTCCAGGTGSGCTCTGCGCTCCTGAAGGTGCAAGGGCAGGGGGTCTAGCCTGCGTTTGGGGACCAAAGTCAAGCCAGGTCTGGGGCCTCAGCGAAGGGAAGTAGACCTGGTCTCTCGTTACCCTGGGTCGGCCCTCAAGGCCCCCAGGAACTCCTGTGTGCTGCCTTCTCGGGCTGCACGTTCCATTCTAAGGCGTTGCCGGGTGACGGCTGGAGTTCTTGACTATGAGCTCCCCTCAGGCTGGTGGGGCACTGGGCACTGCTGGCCGTTCTGCAGGATGACCAAGAAAAAACAGTTTTTCTGCACACGAATTTGGGTTYGGATGCACCATTATTTTGTGAGGCTGTGTCAGCGCCTCCGAAAATTCTGGAAGGTCACTATCAAGGGCTATTTTGCTGAGGAGGAGGAAGAAGTTCATATGTCTTCAGCTGAGAGTATTTTTCACAAAGAAAAAATGCTGGCACTTGGCAACATCTTGAAGAATCAGCTTCTACCCTTTGAAGCGAGAGCCCAGGCTGCCCAGAAAATTGGGCTGCTGGCTTTCACAGGTATGATTTAAATGGCTGYGAAAGAGGCGTCTTACAGTCTTCTTGTTTGTGAGAACACTGTCATTTGGTGACTTCTTCAGTATCAGCCAGGAATTGTGGCGCACATCTGTAAGCCCAGCGGCTCAGGAGGCTGAGGCAGGAGGTTCAAAGCCAGTCTCAGCAACTTAGCGAGATGCTGAGCAATTAGCAAGATCCTGTCTTTAAATTTAAAAAAAAAAAAAAAAATCAAAAATGGCTGAGGATGTGCTGAGTGGTTAAGTGTCCTGGGTTCGTTCCATCCCTGGCACCAAAAATAAATAAATTAATTAATTAAAATTAATTTTAAAAAAAAGTAACATTTTCTTTGATAGAATTATTAGGGTTTTTTTGGTTTTGCTTTGTTTTTTGTCTTTGAACCACTATAGTTAGAACTAACCATTTTCTCCTTAGTGATCTCTAACAGTGGATCCAGTGGGGGACGGTGGCACACACACCTATAATCCCAGCAACTCAAAAAAAAAAAAAAAAAGAAAGAAAGAAAGAAAACCCCAAAACTCATGAGAACCCTTCTCCTCCCAGTCAGCTCCCAGCTTTGTTGCTTTGTGGTGGTTTCTCTTTGCTCCAATGTCAAACTAAGACTCCAGAATGTTAGTAGCTAAAACCCTTATGGAAATGCAAATGCTTGTTTTACAGGTGGACCCGCAGCTGGGAGATTTGCAGCTGAGTACATGAAAGAAATAGCTAACTTGTTRCAAAATGAGGAGGTGTCACCAAAGGTGAAGGTTCTGCTGCTCCAGAGCGTGGCATGTTGGTGCTACTTAAACCCTGTCAGCCAGAGAAAAGCCAGACACCTGAAATTTATTCCCATTCTCACTCGGTTTTTGGAACACCATCTTCAGTCTACTGTCAAAAGTGAAATCAATAGTGACCTCCTTGTTAAATTTTGGACGTGTTATGCTCTGTCTGTCATGACGTGCAATAACTTAGCATTCATGAAGGAGCTTAAAGACTACAATAGTCTAAGATGTAATTTGCAACTGTTGGCTACAGAGAATTGGTCTGGATGGCCTGAGAATTTTGCAGAAGTGCTGTATTTCCTAATAGGTTTTCACAGGAATTGATTTCTCTAAACTCAGTTACATGATGCAGTATCTGTGCCACTGTACTACCCTGGAAACCTTAATAAAAGTCGATACATTATTCTTCAGCATTGTCTTTTGTAATTACCCAGTTCTACATAAATTTTTATACTATTAGTTAAACATATTGATGAAACTTCAGAAAAGGAAATACTGCTTAAAATGATCAGCCTTGTAGATYGGGCTCTTTGAGCTTGTGCATGAGTGTCCCCTCTCTCATTAGGAAAYAAAGATGTTAAAATGCGAAGTTGGATATGATGGGGAGTATACAGTTACAAAATTGTAAAGCTGGATACGATCTTTGTCATCTATTAAGCAAAGGCCTGTGGTAGCCARTGTCCACCATTAAATCATGAAACTTTACCTTCTTATACAACAATTTGAAGCTGATTAARAGCATAAATTCATCACTGATTTCTCTCTGAGGGGAAAAAAATGATGCTGGGTTGTCATAATACTAGGTGTTCTGTGGTAATAAATTTATTGGAAGTAAAAAAATACCCCTTAAAAATTAAATGAGAAACATTGGTTATGTCTGTAATAGGAACAGTGGTTTATTGGAGGGTCTTAGATGACATTAAGGGCTGGGCGAGCGGTTTCACAGTGAGCCCATGCACAAGGCCCTGGGTTCCATTTCCAGCCCTACAAATGAAAGATGACACTAAGCAGAAGCACCCACACTACCAAATCCTCACCCGCCGTGCCCTGTAGTGGGCACTGTGGCCTGCTGGGTCCTTTCAGGCCGTTGCAGTACAGGGTTTTCAGATGCGGAGTTTGGGGCTGGGGTGGTTTTCTGGCTACCAGAGTTGATCTTGCTGCACAGAAGGCCTCTGGAAGTGTGGAGAACTGAGAGGCCTTCAACTCCTTTGGCAGGCCGCTGGGTTCCGTCAAGAGCAGTATCAGACACCCACAGGCAACCAAACTTAGGGCGACTCCAGGCTTCTTAGAAAGATGTTCACTCGCCCTAGTCTATGTAAAAAACACCAGCCTCATCAAATGTTATCACAAAAAAAAAAATATATTATGGCTGTAAATATAGCTCAGTGGTAGAATACGTACTTAGAATTTGGAAGGTCCTGGATTAATCTAGCCACAACCAAAAAAAAAAATATATATATATATATATATATGTATATATTTATATATATACATACATGCATATATACACATTTAATGTGCCTACTTGTTTTTCCACAATACCTGCCTGTAGTTTAACTTGCAGCTCTCATGGGTTCAAGTAAGTACTGCCAGCCTGAGCTGTGCTATAGTGTTGGGTGTCCATCTTTGATGGGTTATAAAAAAAACCTCACTTGAACTTACAGGAGGAAGGTTGGGAAGGAGGTGAAGCTCATCATTTGGAGGATGTCCCAGGAAACTTTCTCAAATCTTAGAGTGAAGAAAAGCTGTCCTCTGCTATGCAGCAAGTGTTTTTGCCCTTTATGGATTTTGTGAATTGTGTACAGCATGTTTCTCAAGCTTGAATTCAGATCACAGAAGTAGACTAAGGGTTGAAAATCAAAAGTTCGACTCAGAGACTGGATCACTGTCRAGAGTCACTTTTAACGCTTTTGAAATGTTTATTTTCTCAAAGTAATACACAGCTTAAGAAGTCAAATGCAAGGCCTCTAGAGTAAGATAGTCCCCTCCTCATGCACACGGTCAAAGGTGACCATTTGAATTCCTTCAGTTGTTTCYTCTCTATTTACCTCCATAGTTCTAAATAATCCACACACATGGCTAATTCTTTGCTTTTCAATTTTAGGCATTCTTTTTACTTCAGAGGACAGAGGAGAACGTAACACTCCCCTCGCCTACCTCCACTTTTCCCCTTCCTCTCAGGATAACCCACACAGTGGTGGTCACTTCACTGTTTCCTGGCTGTCACATGGTGTAGTGTGACTCCATTTCATTCCTTGCACAATCGTGTTCCCTGRAGCTGCTTCCCACTTTCAGTTTCTGGACACCTGTCCCTGAGTCGCTCCCACTTGCCTGTTTAATCCCCCTCCATACTCCTGTACAACACACGGGGGAATTCTCAGTCCTTTTCTTTTCCTTTTTGCAGTACTGGGGGTTGAAC